TCTTAAGTTGCGTTCTTGAAATGTGGAAGTTCCTCTGATTTAATTTGATTATTTTGTAAATATTCTTGTAAATATTCCTCTTCTTTTCTTCATTTGATTTTTCTTTAAAATAAAATTGTGCTTTTGCTCTTGAAGTTAAAATCAAATCCGTTTCTGTTTGCCTTATTTACTGAGTTCAAGACAGAACCATCCCATGTATCTAAGGTCTTGAAAAAATACTTGACACTACACATGTACAACACCCAGCTGCTGGCAAGAACCTATGAAAATGGGATTAATTCCCATTTAATAAAATATCTGAGTTAAATTCCAAGCCGAGCTCAAATTTGCATCAACCAAAACATGACGGCTTAGGCCTATGAGTATGAGGAATGCACAAACAAAATTACAAATTCAACAATAGCCAAAAAGAAATGCTCCAGGAGAATCTCTTAAAATTAATAGGCAGGTAGGCTAGTTATGTACATGTACCGTGATGTACCCCACACACTGGACTAGGTGACACAGTGATATGAAATTGATATTGATTGAAATTGACACTTTGATATGATATGAAATTTGCATCAAAAAGAGGAAATGTTTAGGAATTGATAACAGAAGGTGCCATGACATTTTTTGGGGGTTGTAAAACCAGAAATGAACCGTTAACAAGGTGTATGCAAGAAACTTATCAGAGACAAACAGTTAAAGACGATGTTTTGAATTGAAAATTGAACAAAAACGAAAGGAAATATGTCTTAAAATTAAGTCGACTTACCACACGTGATGGCAAAGACTACTTCAGCGGCTAAGTATCGCGACATGTTGATAGTCTGTTCTGAAAGCTTGGTATACCGTTACTCAAATTTAAAGCGATGGCTGTGGTCAGCATAACAAATGGTGAGCAAACTGTGGTGAATTTTGTGTTTTCTCAGCATTTGTTGAAAAACACAAAACCAAATAACTACTCTGATGTTAGGCCAATAAAAAAAAATATTCGGTCTCTGGTCAGACCAAAGTTCCGGAATTGACGCGGCCACGCGGCTTTTTTTTTTTTTTTGCTTTTTTTTTTTTTTTTTCAAGCTTGGCTTGTACAGACAAGGTGGGTACTATTTTGTTTTTTGGTGTCCTCATGTACATTGGTGTCTTCCGTAATTTGCCTTGGTGCTTTTGATCATTAGCCTTGGTGCAATTTCCCATTCCTTGGTGCTCTTTGGTAAAAAAAAATGAAGAGGTGCGGAAATAGAGGGCGCTGTTGGAGCTACCGCGCAACATTTTGGAAAAAAAAAAAAGATCGACGCGCATGATTAAAATCGACGCGCGCGCTGACAAGAGACCGACTTATTTTTTTTTTTTTGGCCTTACACGGAGGCAGCAGAAGCTTTTACTGAGTCTGATGGGATGGTCTGAGGGAGCACTCAAAACTAATCGCTTTATTGACGACATGGTAATTAGTTTTAAAATAGAAGCCCTTTAAGGAATTAAACGGCTGCGTTTTCGCTTGAAGCGTACAACAAGAGTGGTATATGACGTCGGCTGCTTAAAATAAATTGAGTTTGCATAATGAAAAGTAGCGCGCATCTGCTCAACCGCTCAAATGTCCACACAAGCTTTAACGTGGGAAATGACCACAAGATGACCCAATTTTCTACACTAAATTCCTTGTATCTTAATAAAGGACAGTCGCACAAATCTGGGGGTTGCAGATTATGAAAATTCATTCTTCTGGCTTTAAGTCTATCTATGTCCGGCTTGGAAAAGCAGAAAAACCACTGATCTTTTTTTTCTTGAAAATGTGAGGGATGAGGCAATTGTCTATGGAGCGGAACAGAAAATGACCGTTTGTGAGAGACCTTCAGTTGGCTATCTCAATGTATCTGGAGAACCAAATATCAGAGAACACTGGGGGTAGCAGTTTTGTAAAGAGGATGAAGTTCTCTTTCCATTCATATAAAGCTCGATTTTATTGGTTAAGAAACCACTGATCATTGTTTCATCAAAGTTTTCCCCGAAAGACTGGATTTGTTGCAGAGGTCAGTCTTGTGAGAGCACGTGACCTAAGCCCGCATTGTTGTGTTGGGCCGTTCCACTGACTCGGGAGGTATTACCATGTTTGCCGTGGATTATCATGCAGTATGTACGTGTACATGACAGAGTTGTATATACAGCTCTATGTTACATGCACATGATGACCACTGATTTCGTTTAAGTTTGACGTGTATTTTTTAGGCGTCAATGTTCACTTTTGTGACATGTTCATGGACTTGTCAAAGCTTTACTTAATGCATTAACTTATAACCTGTTTACCTTTGTCCATTTTTTTCTTGTTCATTTAACAATGTCATTGAATGCATACTTTATGTGTTTGAACACTCGTGGTTTGTGACAAAATATATGTGAACGGATCGTTGACATGCCAAAAAAAGTTACACAAAGGCTGCTGGCTAGATGTATGTGGTGTATACGGAAGGACGTGTCCCTCAGTGTGCACGATGTACCTTTTATTGAGAATGGAGGATCCTATGTGGTACTGGCCAGCGTGTTGCGTGTGGTGTGCAAATCGCAAGGTCAAATTGGACAAGATGTGGAGCTGACTCACACACAGTGATCTTTTGCGCGTTTGGGCCCCCAAATTCTCATTATGAAAGAGGAAAAGGCGGTTGACGTCAGACACCGGAACAGTTCGGGAAGAACTCGAAATGAAACAACACAAATTTAGAACAGAAGGTGAAAAATTCTAGGATACGACAGTCGCGCAGGAGAAATGACATTTTGGGAGGTTTGGTTAATATATGAAGGGTAGGATAATCGCAAAAATAAAATCGTCATGGTTGCTGACAACAGTAGGAACCAACTAGAAATGTGTTTGTGGACAAACACAAGCTGTTTTGGATGTTTGAAATACTCTGTACACGTGATGAACACTTGATGAAGTCACTTCAAATGTCATCTGCCAAGTGAAAAGTCAATCAGACATATAGTGCCAAAGTATGATTTGAAGAAATACGTGTACAAAACCTAAGGGGAAAAATGCATCTTTAATGTGAAATAACCTTAAACCTGATGATGTCACGATCACGAATTTCTTCTAGGACCATCTGTGGGTGGTAGTCTAAGTGTGTACCAAATCTAACGTCGATCGGATTTACGAAAGTGCCAAAGTATAATGTTTTAAAACGTGTACAAACCCTATGGGGAAATATGCATCTTTAATGTGACGTAACCCAACACCTGATGACGTCACGATCACAAATTTCTTCAAGGACCATCTGTGGGTGATGGTCTAAATGTGTGCCAAGTCTAAAGTACATCGGATTTACGAAAGTGCCAAAGTATAATGTTTTAAAACGTGTACAAACCCTATGGGGAAAAATGCATCTTTAATGTGACGTAACCCAACACCTAATGACGTCACGATCACAAATTTCTTCTAGGACCATCTGTGGGTGATGGTCTAAATGTGTGCCAAGTCTAAAGTACATCGAATTTACGAAAGTGCCAAAGTAAAATGTTTTAAAACGTGTACAAGCCCTATGGGGAAAAATGCATCTTTAATGTGACGTAACACCAGATGACGTCACGATCACGAATCTCTTCTAGGACCATCTGTGGGTGGTGGTCTAAATATGTATCAAGTCTGAGGTCGATCGGATTCACGAAGAGGCCAAAGTGGAGTGTTTTAAAACGTGTACAAAACATATAGGGAAACATGCATCTTTAATGTGACGTAACCCAACACCTGATGACGTCACGATCACACATTTCTTCTAGGACCATCTGTGGGTAATAGTCTAAGTGTGTGCCAAATCTGACGTCGATTGGATTTACAAAAGTGCCAAAGTGGAGCGTTTTATAACGTGTACAAACCCTATGGGGAAAAATGCATCTTTAATGTGACGTAACCCGACACCTGATGACGTCACGGTCACGAATTTCTTCTAGGACCATCTGTGGGTGGTGGTCTAAGTATGTATTAAGTCTGAAATCAATTGGATTTGAAAATGAGGCAAAGTGGACTGGTGGAAGAAACGTGTGCTAAACCTATGGAGAAAAAGTCTGAAAAAGGAGGGGGAAAAAAATCTTAACGAAAACAAGAGCTGTTTCGGTGTGTCACCGAAACAGCTAAAAATGAAAACAAGTACATTAGTGTCTGAGAAAAGAGCGGACTAATTCGTTCCGTTACCCGTTAAACATTGGAGTGTACTTTCTTTGTGTTTCAATGAAATCAAATAACCCACAAGGGTGTTTTCATGTCAGTTTATTCAATGCATGGTTGGAAATTCTCAGAAATATATTCACCAACTGTAATTATAATTAATATAACACAGACAGGAACAAGAGTTTGCCAGGGAGAGTTCATTTTTCAAGAGTTTGCCAGGGAGAGTTCATTTTTCCCAGCTAATAATTAAAAGACTTCTAATGCTCTATTATATTTTTATTTTACATTGTCACTTTTTATGCCATTTGCGCATTTGCTACAAATTATTCAAACAATATAACACAGACAGGAACAAGAGTTTGCCAGGGAGAGTTCATTTTTCCCAGTGCATTGTGGGAGATGGTCGACAAATCCGCAGCGCGGGACATTTGAAATTGTTAGTTTTTCCAGCCAGAAAAGTATGATTTGAATAATATGTTTGCCCTTTTCTTCTCTTTTTTTATCATTATGGAGTTCTTTTGTTAGGCGGCAGAGTGCTATGCCCCAATCTATGACAAACTAGCTTAAGTTTTCTTCTGACACTCGTTCAAATGGGCCATGTTTTGTCAACCGTAAACTTGAAAAATGAACTCTCCATGGCGAACTCTTGGTGGCGCACTGCATTGTGAATCGCCCGAATTGAACTGGGTTTTCCAATCCAATGCTGGCGGTTCAACGTTATTTCAATATTTTTGTTCAAGGGTGCCAGTGAGAATCGCTTTTATTTCTCCGATTTATTCCAAAACAGGAATACGCTTATATATGTTTCATATTCCACTTTTCTTGCAAAAAATTTCAATAATGAATATCAGTCCACATGTAATTAATCCATCGGACATTGAATCAACTCAAACCGAAGCGCGTATCTAACGATGCGACGAGTAGGGTAAATGCGAATAACAGACGCCATGATGGCCTGGTTGAAGTAATTAGTGTGTGGGGTAGAAGCAGAGTCGATATCTCCGCCATCAAACAACTGAAAAGAAAGGTAAACAGAAGAAAACGGTGTGAAGAAAATACAATCACATTTTCTTCTCGAAAAGGTACACCCAGCTGTATCTCAATCAATAACAATTACTCGTGTAGTTAATGAAGCATTTATACCGTAGGGTCTACCTTGATATCACCATTGTTTTCCTTGATGTACTCGTAGCCAGATAAAGGTGTGGGCTTGTAGGACACCTTAAATTCTGTCACAAGATATGTGGTCCAGGAGAATTCATTTCCTTGTGTGATGACGCCAGAAACCCTAGTCGTTTGGAGGAGATCCACCTCAATCCAACAGAGCGGGCTATCATGAGCGCACAAAACAAAAAAACTTTCATTAGCTGTTTCGGTGAACACGCCGAAACAGCTCTTGTTAGCTGTTCCCAATTTCAATTGGGAACAGCTCTTGTTTTCGTTAAAGTTTTTTTTTTTCCTTTTTTTTTTTTTTCTTCTTTTTCTTTTTCCACTTTTCCCCATAGGTTTTGTACACGTTTTTATAGTACAAGCCACTTTGGCAATTATTTTAAATCCGATCAACTTTAAACTCAGCATAGTTATTAACCATCATCTGAGGATGTGTGCCGAAACTTTTCGTCATGCTGACGTCATCACGTGATTTATTATAGAATTTTGAATATTTAATTTTTCCCATTGACTTTGTACACAAATTTTTTTTTAAAAATGTCGATTTTCAGAGGGCATTTTCAACTCTTTGCCAGTAATTCATTTACACCAATCTTTGTCCAAGCAAAGACCCTAATTCAAACAACATTGTGTAATGATGACGTTATGATGACGTCATCCGGTGTTTATTTATAGGCAATTAAATTGTGACACTTTTAATATTTAAAAATGCATAAGAAATCAACCATACGCGTCCGCAGCATTCTGTTGCCGGCAAGTGGTAGAGTAGGTTGAGGTCTTTATTTCATTCAGTGTGCGTGATATCACGTGACCCTTGCTTCCGGTCGAAAAAGGCCAAAACCGGAAGTGGCTTATTATTTAAAAGTGGTAATAGATATGAACTTGCTTTTAACGGTGTTAGTCTCTTGGCTGACAGTATTCTTCAAATCATCTACCGATGACGTCATGCAATCTTCGAGCGCCCTCTAGCGACAGGTTGAAAACTTTCAAAAATGTATTTTGAATAGATGTCTGTGGCAAAGTTTGTCGGAATCGGCTAATTATTGGTGTATATGATGACCTTGACCCACTTAAGACGTGTGCGAAGTTGAAGGTGTATGACGTCATCAGATCGGAAGTTATAATAAAAAGACCCTTTTTCCTTGGAAAACTCCTGAAAAATCAACCACGGCATTTTTTATATTTGTTTTTACTTTAATTGTCTATTTAAGGGTAGGTCTAAAACATTTCAAAGCTTCGAGGCAATAAGCAAACTCGGACATGCCCTGCGCACGCTTAAAACTTCAGGTTGACAATACCTCTGCTTTAAAACATGTACATGTACATGCACGTACATTGTACGTTGTACATAAGTATATCGTATGTCAGTCAACCCGCGCGCAGCGCACGTGTTGCTGAGGTCAAATGCTGTCCACAGTGACCGTTTTAGCCGATTTCCGGCTAACTTTGACAGATTTTATGTTCATGCATAGTGATAGTCAGGGACGTTGATAAAAACAAATCATAATGCGGAAAGCCCTATCTTCTGTTGCAAACAGACATAGATCTCTAATTATATGTCTATGGGTCCAACAGATAATCAATATTGGGAACAGCTCTGTGGTTGTTCACAACCACAATTTCTAGTTTTTGTTATTTTTTTTTTCCCTTTTTTGGCTTTTCCGCATTGTTGCGGAAAAGTCTTTCTTTTTGTTCTGATTTTTTTTCTTTCTTCTTCTTCTTCTTCTTCTTCTTCTTCTTCTTCTTCTTCTTCCTCTTCTTCTTTTTTTCCCAAAACCCCATAGACTTTGTACACGTTTATTCTACACGCCACTTTTGGCATTAATGTTTGTCATACATCATTCAAAGTTAGCATAAGCATAGCCCCTATAGCAAAGATGTGTCCCGAAGATTGACGTCATGGTGACGTCATCGACTAATTTATTATAGATTTTTGAATATTTAATTTTTCCCATAGACTTTGTACACAGAAATTAAAAAAATAATTGTCGATTTTCAAAGGGCATTTTTGACTCTTTGCCAGTAATTCATTAACACCAATCTTTGTCCAAGCAAAGACCCTAATTCAAACAACATTGTGGAATGATGACGTCATGATGACGTCATCCTGTGTTTATTTATAGGCAATTAAATTGTGACACTTTTAATATTTAAAAATGCATAAGAAATCAACCGTACGCGTCCGCAGCATTCTGTTGCCGGCAAGTGGTAGAGTAGGTTGAGGTCTTCATTTCATTTAGTGTGCGTGCAATCACGTGACCCTTGCTTCCGGTCGAAAAAGGCCCAAACCGGAAGTGGCTTATTATTTAAAAGTGGTAATAGATATGAACTTGCTTTTAACGGTGTTCGTCTCTTGGCTGATAGTATTCTTCAAATCATCTACCGATGACGTCATGCAATCTTCGAGCGCCCTCTAGCGACAGGTTGAAAATTAGCAAAAATGTATTTTGAATAGATGTCTGTAGCGAAGTTTGTCGGAATCGCCTAAATATTGGTGTATATAATGACCTTGACCACCTTAAGACGTGTGCGAAGTTTTAGGCGAATGACGTCATCAGACCGGAAGTTATAATGGAAAGACCCTTTTTCCTTAGAAAATTCCTGAAAAATCAACCATGGCAGTTTTTATATTAGTTTTTACTTTAATTGTAGATTTAAGGGTAGGTCTAAAACATTTTAAAGTTTCGAGGCGATAAGCGAACTCGAACATACCCTGCACACGCTTAAAACTTCACGTTGACAATACCTCTGCTTCAAAACATGCACAGGACACAATGTACATGTACATGTACATGCACGTACGTTGTACATGTACATAGGCACATACATCGCATGTCAGTCAGCCTGCAGCGCACGTGTTGCTGAGGTCAAATCCTGCCCACAGTGACCGTTTTAGCCGATTTTCGGCTAACTTTGACAGATTTTATGTTCATGCATGCGCATAGACAGTGACGTATTATAGCACTTTTGGCATTAATCTTTGTCAGATATCATTGAAAGTTGGCATAAGCATAGTCCCTATAGCCAAGATGTGTCCTGAAGAGTGAGGTCATGGTGACGTCATCAAGTGATTTATTATGGATTAATGAATTATTAATTTTTCTCATAGACTTTGTACACAGCTTTCTCCACAAGTCTTTTCCTATACAAAACTGATATATCTTAGGCCAAAAAAAAAAATATTCGGTCTCTGGTCAGACCAAAGTTCCGGAATTGACGCGGCCACGCGGCCTTTTTTTTTTTGGCTTTTTCGCCATCAGCGAAAAAGCCTTTGTTTCTGTTCTGATTTTTTTTTTTCTTACTTCTTCTTCTTGTTCTTCTATCCCAAATCCCATTGACTTTGCACATGTTTCATTCTGGACCCCACTTTTGACCCTGAACATACTTCAATCTTAATGAAACTTGGCACAGAGTCAAGACCCAAAGTGAACTCGTGCATGGAAAAGTGACGTCATCATGACGTCATCATGGGCCACGTGACGTCATCTGAAATGTGTAAACTTTAGGACCCTATATCTAAAGAACTATAAGTCGGATTGGGTTGAAACTCGGTATATTGGTAGACCGGGATGTGTTATAGATAAAAATTGAGGTGACGTCATCATGACGTCATCGTGTGATTTTATATCGATTTTTGACGTTTTGGACCTTGAAGCCATATCTCACGAATGCAATATGCTAAATTCAAAATTCTTTTTGTATTAGGTTTGTTAAGCAATAGGTTTATGCACAAAATTTTGAAAAATGTGTGACGTCATGATGACGTCATCAAAAATGCGATTTTGTAAAACACATATAAGGGAATGTCCGATCGTACTGAAACTTGGTGGGTGGGTAGATAATTGTACCAGTGCACAAAATATGAAATGACGTCACGATGACGTCATCGACAGATTTTTAACGATTTTTTTAATATTTACAATTTTATTCTGATTACGAAATTTAACACTTTTATTCATCCAAGTCGCTTCAAACTTGGTACAGGCTAAGTCCACAAAAGAATAATGAGCACCGCCAAGTATTGTTATAATGACGTCATCATGGGTCACGTGACGTCATCTTAAAAGTTCATATTCCAAAGCCCAATATCTACAGCACGGTAAGTCTGATTGTATTGAAACTCGGTATGTAGGTAGACCAGGATGTGTTATAGGTACAAATTGAAATGACGTCATAATGACGTCATCATACGATTTTATATGATTTTATGAGTTGTTGGACCCTTTAAGCCATATCACACGAACGCATCATGCAAAATTCAAAATTCTTTTTGTATTTGGTTTGACAGGGAATAAGTATATACAAAAAATTTTGAAAAGAATGTGACGTCATCATGACGTCATCAAAAATGCGATAGTTGAAAACACATATAAACATCATTGAACAATCACCATCAACTAATCAACAATAACAAATCAAAAATCAAAATCAACAGTCAAAATCAACAATCAACACCAAAATCATCGGCTATCAACAATCAACTATCAATAATCATCAACCGACATCAACATCAACAATCAACAATCAACAATCAACAATCAAAATCAACAATTAACAATTAACATCAACAATCATCAACAATCAACATCAATAACCAACATCAAAAATCAACATCAAGAAACATCATCAACAATCGACATAAATAATCAACATCAACAATCAACGTCAACAATCATCAACAACATCAACATCAAAGATCAATATCAAAAATTAACATCAGCATTCAACAACAACATCATCAACATCAACAATCAACATCAACAATCAGCATCAACTAATCATCAATCAACATCAACATTAACAATCAACAATCAAAATCAACAATTTACAATTAACATCAACAATCATCAACAATCAACATCAATAACCAACATAAACAATCATCATCAGAAACATCACCAACAATCGACATCAATAATCAACATCAACAATCAACGTCAACAATCAACATCAACAATCAACAATCAACATCAACAATCAACAATCAACATCAACAATCAACAACAACAATCAACAATGCGAAAAAGCCCTATGTTCTGTTGATTGAACAGACATAAACCTCTAGTTTTTTTTTTTTTTCTTCAAGCTTGGATTGTACAGACAAGGTGGGGAACTTTCATGCTTTTTTGGTGTCCTCATGTACATTAGTGTCCTCCATAATTTGCCTTGGTGCTTTCGATCATTTGCCTTGGTACAATTTCCCATTCCTTGGTGCTCTTTGGTAAACAAAATTGAGGAGGTGCAAACTTGCTACTTGCGCAACTTTGAAATTTGCGCGCGCAAGTTTCAAACTTGCGCAAGTAGCAAGTTTGTGCTCGACAGTACTTGTAGTAACGATTGCACGAGGAACAGCGTGCGCGCGAAGGTTTATTAGTCAGACCCTATTTATATCTAACAGTACGTCTAGATTCCAGACTAGCTGCTACAACTCCCCAGTTCATTAGGAATTTTACTGAAAGGTATGCGACAAGGTATGCAACAAAATTCACGACATTGCAAACAAATTCGCATACGTGTGCGCACATATTCGCGATAAATTTCTCAACAACGCATACGTGTGCGCACATATTCGCGAATTGTTTCACGACATTGCATACGTGTGCGCACACATTCGCGATAAATTTCGCGACATCGCATACGTATGCGCACACGTTTGCGATATGCGATGTCCCTTCAGGGCCACCATACATACGCACATACATCGTATGTCAGTAAGCCCGCAGGGCACGTGTTACTGAGTTCAAATCCTAACCACAGTGACTGTTTTAGCCGATTTTCGGCTAACTTTGACAGACTTTATGTTCATGCATAGTCAGAGACGTATTATTGATTAAAAAAAATCATAATGCGGAAAAGCCCTATGTTCTGTTGCAAACAGACATAGATCTCTAGTTTTTTTTTCCACTTTTTTTCCCATAGGATAACACGTGTTTTCGTTCTACAAGTCACTTTTTGCCTTGTTTCAAATCAGACCGACTTCAAACCTGGCCCACTGTTAGACTATCATCTGAAGATGTGTGCCGAAACTTTTCGTCATCATGACGTCATCACGTGTCACGTGACGTCATCATAAAAGAGCATACTTCAAGGCCCTATATCTACAGAACCGGAAGTCCGATTTGGTTCAAACTTGGTATGCAAGTATTCCGGGACGTGTTATAGACGAAAATTGCAGTGACGTCATGATGACGTCATCATGTGATTTTATATAAATTATTCAATTTTTGGACCTGTTACTCATATCTCATAAACGGAATGTGGTAAATTCGAAATTCTTTTTGTAACAGGTTTGTTAGGTCATAGATAGATGCACAAAATTTCATAAAATGTGTGACGTCATCATGACGTCATCAAAAACGTGATTTTTTGATTCACATATAAGAATATGTCCGATCTTTATGAAATTTGGTGGGTAGGTAGGTAAAGATAACAGCATTCGAAATCTGAAGTGACGTCATCATGACGTCATCATCTGATTTTTATGAATGTTTCAAATTTTAATATTTTCTTCAAATTTTGCAAAAATTATATAAAATATGGTCCGATCGACTTCAAACCAGGCACACACTTAAACAACCATCTGAAGATGTATGCCGAATCATAACGTCATCATGACGTCATCACGTGTCACATGACGTCATCCTAAAGGTGCATACTTTAAGACCCTATATGTACAAAACCAGAGGTCCAATTGGGTTCAAACTTGGTATGCAAGTATTCCGGGAAGTGTTATAGACGAAAATTGCAGTGACGTCACGATGATTTTATATAAATTATGCAATTTTTTTACCTTATTTTACTCAAACCTCATCAATGGAACATGGTAAATTCAAAATTCTTTTTGTAACATGTTTGTTAGTTGAAAGACACATGCACAAAATTTCATAAAATGTGTGACGTCATCATGATGTCATCAAAAACGTGTTTTGTGATTCACATATAAGGGTATGTCCGATCGTTATGAAACTTGGTGGGTAGGTAGGTATAGATAAAAGCATTCAAAATCTGAAGTGACGTCATCATGACGTCATCGTCTGTTTTTAATGAATTTTTCAAATTTTAATATTTTCTTCATTAATAAAACGGTCGAAACAGCTCAGTGTTTGTCCACAAACACATTTCTAGTTGTCATTGAAAAGCAAGCGCACAAGTCAATGGAGGGGAATGTTTTTTTTTCATGATTTAATATTAAACGTTGCGATCCACGTGGTATGGTAACCACGCAAAACTGAGTCTGTATTATATAAGCACATCTATAGTAAGTGAAGCATACTACATAGTTGATGTATCAGCGAAACGTCAATACTATATAATTGAGGCTTCTGGGCTGTTTGGTGAGGAGCCATTCAAGTAACAGAGACTGTCTTACACTGCTCAGCCTTGTTTCAAGCCTGTATTTTGCCTTCTGATCCCTTTATATCGCCGTCAAAGCACCACAGTGGTAGAGCGCGTTTATTGCCACAAATACCCCCATCTATCCCGAATAAAAATTCTTGATGGCATTTAGAGAAATAAGCCCCGATTTGCTGTTAGTCAGAGTAACTTAGGAATGAAACAAAAATAATTAAGAACTAGGTACGAATTGGAAACCGATTCGGACCAAAAAAAAAATGCGATTTAGTGCAGAATGAAACCGAATTGTAGCGATTGTGTAAAAAAAACACACCCATAATTATGAATAACTCAACATTTATCCAGAGTGACCCAGAATTATGCCGATTTAGTGTGTTCGTAAGTTATTCCTATAATAGTCGTACATTTCTTAATACATTCATAATAATTCAGCATGATTCTGGGCTGTTAACAACAAAAATAACTCAACGAAACTTGAAAGAATGCTGTGAGAATATCCAGAATGCTGTAAGAATATCCAGAATTAGGTACGAATGCAACAAGAATAAAGCAAGAATTGAAATCGGTTTCCGAATCACCCCGACAATTTTGGACATGTCCACAATTGTGGGGGTGCTTCCCGATCTTTAACGATCTTTTACCGAACTATCAGAATCATCCCGAGGCAGCCAAGAACCATTTCCCGAGTTACTCAAGAATTGCTTTCGCGGCGATTCGGCTTTAAGATTGGGAATGTATTAACCTAGCATTAAGATACTTGGAAATTGCCGGGGCTCGGTAACAAAGTTGATGATAGCGCCCGTATGACCGCAATGGTTTGACGGCGCTTGCTAGGGAGTGGAACCATTTGCATTAAAGACCAGTGACCTACCAGTATGAGTCACTCCAAAACGACGGGCCATTCAGTCGTGCCTGAAAAGCATTAGTCCAGAGTTTTTCTCTTGATGATCGGATACGCTCATCGGGAATGGTGCCGTCTTCTAGACCCAGTCGCTGACAACTATCTGCTGTCAAGATCAAAATAAAACCATGGATGATAAAGAGACGTCAACGGATCTAGAGTAATTGATTCGATTTTACGGTTTTCTTGTATTCTTTCCATTTTGAACCCTAAATTAGTAATGATTTCAATAAAGACAACATGCAGAGGCAATATGTGAAGGTGTACGTTTTGTTCTAAGAAAGCTGGTATTTAGTGGTACAAAATTGTAAAGTTAACATATCTTCAGTATCTGGATCGGATAAATTCAATGTCTCACATTTACGGAGGAAAGTGTGGGGGAAAAACCTGTGTCATTACATCTGAAGTAGCCTATTCATTGAAATTGGTTATTTTAGTTCCATATTAACCCCTGATAAACGTTACATCAGGCGCGGTTCTAGAACCAATATTTTTTGGGGGGCTAGCACGGTGGATCCAGAATATTTTCCAGGGAGGCGTGCTGAAATGTAGACCGGTTATTTTTTTCCAGACTCTTAGGTCTCCGAAAATCAATAGGGGAGGGGGGGGGGGGGGGCTCATGCCATATTTTCAATGGAGAGCGCAGATAAAATCCTAAAATCATTCACACTATATTAACTAATGCACCCTTGTCACGGCTATTTCTTCTTTAGGGGGAGACCGTTCGCATGTACATTACAATCCTTCTTTTTCCTAATGCAATTTGTTTTTTTTACGGAATTTATGGGGGGGGGCTAGACAAAATTTTGGGGGAGCTACAGCCCCCCCCCCCCCCCCCCCCCCCCCGTAGAACCGCAGCCCGAAGCCCGTTAGCAAATATTTATTTCGACTTACCCTTCGCAGTATCACCGCATTGTCTTGGGCATCCTTTCCGTACTAACTCCATGAACTGTGCCATCCATTGGTGCATGTCTGCTGCATCCAGCTCCGGTGGTTGACCGAAGAAACAAACCCTCGCCTTGCTCTCCACACAGTCCATGAATACTAGAACTATCGAATTAAAGAAAAACACAAGAAAACACATTTAATGCAAACTTCTTGGAGGTGATATAAATTCTGTTCTGAAATCTAAGTGAAGTGATTTGGCTAAACAAAAGCCATATTTCTTAAAACACATGAATCCAGAGACAAGAAAAATGTGATATAACAATGCTTTTATAATCGAAGACTAAATGTAGTTCGAAAACGTCGGATATGATTAAGTCTAGGTCCAAAACTGGTTTTTGATTTTATTCCCCTTATTCGTCGCTCCGTTACAAGCGAGGTCAACAAGATATATCGAATTCAGTCTTGGCAATATTGACAGCGCTACCCAGGACATTGCGAGCATACATGAACTCAACCTGAATAATGAGGTATGCTCAGAATTACCTGGGTAGCGCTGTCAATATTACCAAGACTGACTTTGATTTATCTTGTTACAACAAACCTCAATTGCGGCAATTTTAACCGCGTTTGTCACAGGCTGGGCTTCAAAACAGGGGAATAAAAATCCAGCCTTGGACCGCGACGAGATTGAGTGACCAAGAATCATTGCAATCATAGACACGTCTATTCCCAGTTCTGAAAATCACAAGGATTACCTATACTATTAACCATTTCTACAGTATGGAGCTGATCCCATAAATTGTAACATAAACCCAGTGTCAAATTGAAAACTGTTGGCGCCCCTCCCCCACCCCTTTGCCACTCTCCTTTGTGCACAATCCCGGTTTGGTGAGAACAATAAAGAGCTGTTCAAAAAACAAAGAAAAAAAAACAGTTCGTTCTGAAAATTACAAGGATTACCTATACTATTAACCATTACTAAACTATGGAGCTGATCCCAAAAATTGTAACATAAACCCAGTGTCAAATTGAAAACTGTTGGTGCCCCTCCCCACCCCTTTGCCCCGTTCCTTTGTGCACAATCCCGGTGTGTTGAGGGGCAATCAAGAGTTTAAAAAAACAACAAAAAAACAAACAAACAAACAAACAAAACAATCAGACTGAATAGAAAAATGTGTGTGGAGAAGAAGCAAAACTAATATCGTCCGACTTTGTAAACGAGCGATAACGCTTGAAATTGGCGGTGTTAACCGATTCTACAAGACTCGATATAACTGCGTAGCATTAACTGCAATTTCTGAGGGAAAATGAGATGTTTTCACTAACTAAATCAAACTTACCACAAATGGTTGCAAGGAATGACACAACAAAAAACCGGAACATGATTTTTCACTTCCGCAAATGTGGTCTGCTAAATTTGTGGACAACTATCCGTCGACTGTGGTCCTCTTCATTATCATGAACAGAGTACAACTCTGAGTCTTTCTACATAACCTAGACTGACACTTGCTACGTATACTTGCCACGAAAGGGGGAAGATGAAGGCACTGACCTTCAGGGGTTTTAATACAGATTGCATATTGTTTGCAGAGCGGTACTTTACAAAATTAGCCATTTACTAACAAACAATGGCGACATCACGGGCAATGACCAGAACCAAGATCAAGTTTGGTGACTGGCGCTCCAATCGATCAGTTGACAGCGTCAGTGTGGCCACTGACCAATCCCGGCACGCTATCAATTCTACCACGGAGGCCCGCAATATCACCGAGAGCTATTGTTCAGACAATCCGTCATGGAACAATTGCTTTGTACAATATCTAATCGCAAGGTTTTTGCCATTTGAGGTTGTACTCAAAACTAATCACTATGTACGGACGGACACCCACGTTTGTTTATGGTGTAAATCGAGGATTTGCTAGTGTTCCTTTTTCACTATTCCTTTGTTTATACTTTTTTGCCCCAAGTCTAAAACGATCCTGGATCCGGGCCTGAACCTGTAATAAGAATTGAAATAGAAGACATCAAATGCACGATCATGATTTTATTTCACATTGTCACTTTTTAAACCATTTGCGAAATTCCTACAAATATTTTAGACAATATAACAGGCTACAGCCAGGAAAATTATTTAGATTATATTAAGGTCCACTAGTCCAATAAAGGTCAACTTATACTCAACCAGCACTCATCATGATACAGAAGTTCATGTTTGCATGAAATCAAAATAATTTAAGAAATGTTACCGAACCAACATACCGTTGGGACCCGACCTAACTTCGCTGGTCCCAGAGGGCCTGCCCACAACCCCCACAGTACCCATCTCACTGACTGATTGACTGACTGACTCCCCCACGGACTGACTTCCCAGCTAACTGACTCCCCGACTGACTGACTCCCCCCACCAAGTTCTTTCTACTGACTACTGACCGACCGACCGACCGACCGACCGACCGATCGACTGACCGACTGACTGACCGACTGACTGACTCCCCGACTGACTGACTCCTCCCCGACTGACTGACTACTGACTACTGACCGACCGACCGACCGACCGACCGACCGACCGATCGACTGACCCCCATAAAAATCATATACTCGCCAAGACCGCTTAGGGCCCTGTCACACTTCTGCGTATCCTAATTCCTTATGAGTTGCGCATTGACTTTCTTTCATACGCAGTCGTACGCACAATACGCACCTCATATGCATCTCTATCGTTTTATGTAAGTTTTATGTACGCAGGCATACGCATGGTACGGCCCAGTACGCTGGATAGTTTTGGGCATGCACAAAACTACGCTGCGTACGCTGTTACGCAGGTCATAAGTTATAAATACGCAGCGCATCGGTCCCGCATCGGTCGAGCGCGGTACGAGTACGCTATGTGTTCGTGAGGGATAAGCCGTTCATATGCGGCAATACGCTGACCTCCTATATTGGACGTATACATAACGACGTATTGCACGAATTAGTACCGCTCGTCCTGCGAGCGGGCAGCGCATTGTACTTATTCGTAACTTATGAGAAACTCACAGATGGCGAACTTGCGCACTGCATACGCAACTCATACGCATCTCATACGCATTGGATGCGCTGAATTCGTTACTTGTTCGCTAGATGTGCGTCGCACATATGTCAAAGTAATCAAAAAATTTCGACGTTTTTGATCGTACGGCTGCGTATTGAAAATTGTTGATAAGGAACTCATAAGGAATTGGGATACGCAAAAGTGTGACAGGGGCTTCAGATCGAATTCGTATGGGACCAACTTAATAAAGGCTTGCCTTCCTCTTGTTACAACGATTTGTGATAGCGATTTGTATTTCTTTAAGAATAAATGCACTGAATTCGACACACGCAATCGCATTTAACATTTCACACAATCTAGTTAAGTGCTGAGTTCTCTTTCAGCCACAAGGTTCATTGGACTCCAGCTTTTCGATAATTAAGCTGAAGGTCGATCGCTTCATCGAACGTAGTAGAGCCACTTACTAGGAAATTAAGCGACCAATTCTCTATCACAAAACTCACCGGTGTTATACTTCAAAATAAACAACTTGGAGTTTCACTCTTGGCCAGTCAAAGAATCATTTCAAAACTACTTTAATTATGAACTTTACTTTCTCCCCAATTTATTCCATTTCTTTCTTTTCAACAACACACTTTCAAACATAAGAACAAACAAATAGTGAGTCATCAACCATCCTTTCAATGTTATAAATTATGCATCTATCGGACAACCAATCACCTCAAACCGAAGCCCAGGCATTACATGTACTGCAGTAATCACAATGCGGACAGCATGCGCATTGACGTGCGGGTCGAAGTCATGAGTACGTGGGGTAGAAGCAGTGTAAGGGTCCCCGCCATCAAACAACTGAAAAGAATAACAGAAAACAGAAGGAATTAGTGTGAATAACTAAATCGTAAGAGTAAATGAAGCTAGGCGATGGATATTTAGCCAAACTGCACTGTTAACATGACTAAAATGAGCACTCGTGCTCCAACAGCTTGAAATTTAAATTGTCCACTGACTTTGAGCCTGTTTCAAGCCCTACCTTGATACTGCCATTGCTCTCAGTGACGTACACCAGCCTAGATGACGACGGGGGCTTGTACGACACCTTAAAGGTATTCACAAAAAATACCGCTTTGCCTTGTGTGATGACACCAGCAACTTCGGTAGATTGGAGAAGACTCACCTCAATCCAAGCGCCGGGGCTATCGTGAGCATACACAAAAGGAGACAAATTAAAAGAGGAGAAGGCTTTTCTCCGCAATACTCGCTACTAAACTTTGGTATTCACGTGAAATGTGTGCCCAATAGTTCACCGTTGGTGCAGCTGAGTGTATACGTTTTTCCTGTTTTGTCAAAATTTGTATTATCCACAGGGTGGGTACAGTTACAAACCTCCTTAATATTTTGAAAAATCCTGTTGCTTCAAACAAACACAAATGCAATCAAACATTCCCTAATGTTTCAAGTCAGATTAACAAACACACTTCAGTAAAATAGGGCAGCAATGATTATGCCTGCATAAAAAGTCTGGCCAGTGGAGCTTCTATGATTTGGAGGGGGGGGGGCTCACAAGGTTTTTTTTTCTTTTCAAATCGTTTAGAAGTTAAAATGTTTTCAATTTTTTTCCCACAATTGTTGGCTGTAGAATTTTTTTTTCTTGGGGGGGGGGGACACCTATTTTGACGTGGTGGCGCCACTTACACCCCTATCATACTACTCGAAAAAATATCACATATCATATCAAAGTCAAATCGTGGGACTAAAATAAAGTTACACACAAAAAAGCGCCATTGAGTCTGGTGCCATTCCTTTCAACAGTTAACAATCAATAAAATACATTTATTCAAGGAACTCGACAAAAATTTCCAACTCGTGCATCAAGGCCCATGCTTTGTCCATATGGGGTTCCATAAGCAGACGGGATATCTGAATGTGACTCGCCAAGAGGCTTTAGTTTATCTACTGATTATACAGGTCAATTAGAAGCACCTACCCAGAAGCTGGGCTCCAAAACGACGGGCCATTCAGACGTGCCTTGGAAGGAGGGCGATTCCTGGCATTCGATGATGCCTGGATATTTTCATCGGGGATGTCGCCGTCTTCAAGTCCCAGCTTCTCAGGAGAGTCACAGGGATCTGCCGTTGAATAAAACTGCTAATGATTCTGTTTCTGCATCTCCTTGCATGGTATCAATTTTCCAAGTTGGTGTCATGTACTTTCGGGCGAGCGATTGCCAACATTAAGAGTTTAAGATTGTCTAGTGACTAAAGGTAAGGGTCTCAGGAAATCTATATCTTTCATCTACGGTAGATATTTTCATTGAATAAAGGCAGATCCATGCACAAATAAAATTTGAGATTTGCAGGAAAAAATATCACGAAGTGACACATTGCTTCATCGGCAAGATCAATTCGCTAATCTGATTGATTCACCACGCGCAAGATTTGGATTTGGATAGCAATAACTTGGCATTACGTCTTTGGCCGCCCTTTAATAGACTTATCTACATCAGTGTCACCCTCGTGTTTGCTAAGAATTGCTCCACGCTGACAATTAAACAATGAGACCCATTCCGTACAGTAGGCACGCCTTGAAGACGATAAGCTACCATCACATTTTTTATTGACAGTGAGTGGACTTTTACTGGTTGTACCAAAAGCACGAAGCCGAACTAGCCGCGGCAGATGAGCTAGTTCAAGTTGATAGAGCTTTACATTACCTTTCTTTTGAAGATTAAAATCTTTGGTCACCAAGGCGTCCGTTTTTAGTTCTGGGAGCACCGAAGCGTCGTTTTCAACCACCAGGAACCCAACCGCCAGCATTATTAGCAGACAGGCGGCAATGGAAGACATGATGACAATCGGCAGAGGTGGACCAAAAACTATCAAATGCGATCGAACTCCGGATGAAATTCAATAAATCAGCCGTGTTTTAGCGTAATTTTAGTTCGTGATGTCGCAACGCTCGTCACAGCAATTCTGCGTCCGTCCCTCGTTAGCAAGCGCTTATATTGGGCTCCGTGGATGGCTCGGAATCGCGTGATAAGGTCATAACAAATAATAGATTATCCAAGGATAGATCGGCTATAAACTTACCGACAATATGGAGACAAAACATCTGTTGGTATTCTTTCGTTGTTGTGTTGCCAATCAAATTGTTTACGACTAATTTCAGCTGAAATAAACGAAGACCAGTGGTAAGGCATAGTTCAAGTTTATCCTCCCTGGCGGTCGACGTTTTTCCGTCAAATACTATTTTTTTTAACAGTTTATCAAAAATCTGAAAAGCGATCCACATCCACAAGTGTTAGCTGACTGAAAATGTCCCAAAAATCAGGCACGTCTGGGTTAATAAATGTAAATTCCCTGAAGTATCACATTTAAATGTCAAGTAGATGATTCTTACATTTTAATATTTTGCTCAATATAATATATCACTTAACTATGACAAAGAATTATCATAGGCCTAATGCTTAAGAAATGCCCCCAAACAGAGGCGTAACTGTTGTCCCATTTATGCAAGGTATGTATGTCTATTTTCGGAGAGATGCACTAAGGGTTTGGTAACACTTTCAGACAAAACTGGCTTGTTGGCCTTACCCAAGATGAGGTTGGTATGCGGGGCGACACCGTGCTTCTATTTCAAGCCACCTCCTCCTCTGCTCAACCAGAAATTAATGACCTCCTGAATACCGCTCAAGGGTAGTTATTAGTTAAGCTTTTTTTTACAAAATTAATGATCCTAAAAAACATCATTCCATTTTCTGGGGGTTTGAGGTTCATTGAGCAGTTGCATACAGTTTCTCCGCAACCTAGGCAAGATATTATATCCAAGAATACACAAGCTCAGAGCAGAAACAAAATATGCATAAGTAGATAATAAAAAAAGAAAAGGCTACTTAAAAATAAAATCAACGTGGATGGCCGCGACCCTGGTTTTTATGCAACATCTGCTCGTTTATTTATAGGGTTTTTCTTGCCTCTGCGGGATGGCATTTTGTTCGGCATCAATATTGCTGAGTATTTGTTTTGAACAAAAAGAGATGCAGTGGAAACTGAATTGGTATATCTTCAATGTAAATTATTATTATTTTTTTAAATCATAACAGTGAGGGTTAATGTAGCATTTTAATTACAATTAACCAATATTGATTTATGGGCAGAATTTAGCCTGTGATTAATGCGTTAGCCCTTTGTTTTTTTTTTGTTTATAAAATCCGGTACTAAAATATGCTTGTTCCCGACAATAATTTCTTTCAGTCGGCATTAAGAACCTCAGTTTTCAAAGCAAACATCAAATCAATAAACAGAACAAGGCAATGATGTCGCAAGAGGAGGGATGTCGTCCCCTATTCATAGTCCCCCGGCAAATCGTGTCTAAGGGCAACTATGCCGAAACGAAGAGCGCCACCTATTGACATGATTGTATCCAAGGTCGTCTGTTTTTAACAGCGCCGTCAATAGTCAGATGGTGTCTCCGTCTACTCCACCCACCCACGACACCCACAAAAAATGTCGGGCCGGCGACCAGTACCGAGGGTCCGTCGCCAGGCACGAGGCCGTTGTCTGAACCGACTTGCAGAAGCAAAACCTATGAAACCTTCGTTGTACATTGCCTCACGTGAGACTGAAAGTTGCTACGAAAAGAAGACATACACATTGACGTAGCCATCTGGGTTGGGGTGGGGTTAAGGGGGGTATTTAACCCCCCCCCCTCCCAATATTTTGTAAAGACAGCCCTTTTTTTATTCAAGTGCCCTTTTTCGCAAGTGATTACCCCCCCCCCATATTTTTTTAAAGAGTGCCTTTTTAACGAGTGCTCTTTTAAAAAAAAAAAAAAAAAAAAAAAGTGCCCTTTAAAAATAAAATGATGTTTTTTTTTTAACTAGCGGCTGTAACGAGTGCCTTTTGGGGAATTTCGTGCGTGTGCCTCCCTGAAAACATCATACATTGTCCCATAGTGTGTATGATCGTCCACTTTGAACATCGCCCTCATTGTAAGATGGCACGATCCCCCTCCCGCAAACCCCAACAACTTGAGCAACAAAACACGAAGGCCGTTGGCGTCATACCACTTGCCAGTGAGTTGGTGACAAAGAAAACAGTAGAATGTAAATAATGATGGCGATGTCGTTAACCGGGTTAATAATACCAATACGGTTCTGAAAACGTTATACAGCTGCTCTTGTACTTGTACGCGACAGCCGTGACAGGTATAACAATTCGTTACGGTTCTTGGAGTTTGGAGTTTGGAGTTTGAAGCTTGGAGTCTTTTATTACAAAAGATTAGAAGATATGTCTGTCTAACCTGTTTATAATGTGCACACCCCCACGAGGCTCGTGCAAAAACCTTTGTTGATTCAGATGATAACTTGTTAACCATACAATGAAAAGGGGCAGCATAAAAACAAGATGGCAGACGAGCCCAATCGTGTGTTTCTGTGGAGCATCCCTCGTTCGGTCTCCACGGCCATTGTTAAGTGTCTGAGTTACGTGGACGGCATCCAGATTGTAAACCACCTGTACGCCAGTGGGCACTACATGGGTGTTAATGGAGAACTTCCCGAACCAGATCCGAGCAACCCGACGGTGTGCCAGATCCTGGACGTTACAAGGAGACTGATTGATGAGGTACAACGGGACAAGGCATCCGGGATAGATTACACCTTGTTGTCCTACCAGTGGATTCGGGATGAGGTCTTGGAAGCATCTTACCCCAACAAGAAGCTCCTTCTGTGTCGAGACCAAGCCCAGTACCTGCATGGCAGATACGACATGTTGCCTAGGGGATTCAAGTACAGCTTCTTAATCCGTCATCCCATCAGAGTCTTCCGATCTTACAAGACGTATCTCGCCAACATGTGGGGTTGTGAGTTTCCTGACATGCGGACCCTGCCTCCAATAGCATTTCCTCCCGGCTGTGGTTACAAGGAGCTCTTCGATTTGTTCGAGTATGTCGGGAAGAACATCGACCCCTCGCCGGTCATACTGGACGCCGACGATCTGCTACAAGACCCGGCGGGAATATTGTCGACCTACTGCTCCAAGATGGGAATACCGTACTCCGACAAGCTGCTGTCCTGGCAAGCCGATGGTGATAACATCACCAAAACTTGGATAATGTCAAATTCAATCGGAGCATCCAACAGGATGCAGGGCTACTACTACAAGCGAGCATTTGAGAGCGTGGGATTCGTGAAGACTTCCCCGCTACCTGATCTGGCGAGTCTACCGGATGATGTCCAGGCGTGCGTTGAGTACAGCCTGGATTACTACGAAAGACTGCATCGTGAAAGAATTAAACCTGGGATTTAAGCTTCAAGGTCTTAATATTAGTTGATCAGAAAATTAGCTATGCTCCAAAAGTCTAAAACAGCAGATGCATGACTTAAGCAGCATAATTAACTGATTGTTCTCCCGTTTGAATGAGTTTAATGCTTTATGGTATTTGAGTAATTGGTAGAATTTTCATTTTCATTTATGTTTAACTATTTGGCTTAAATATATCGCGTAGAATGCTCGAAGGTTCTTGGATGGGAGTGCCGAAGTTCCTACGATAGACCGGTTTTGGATCATCTTGTTGACAGCGCCCGCTACATACTAGTGGCAGGCTGAATCAAGGGAAAGGATGAATCAAGAGAAAGTCCAAATCCAGCGTGGACCAAGACGTGCATGTTTAACGGACTATTTATTGGTTTACCGAAAAGTGTACTTTACTTTCTACTTCCATTATCTTTTCATCTCACAGAGTATTAAGAAAAAGTCGTTTAAAATTTGATGTGTGAAGAAAAATGGTATTAATTTGCAATCATTTTTTTGAGTACATTGCTCAAATAGTTTGCTGCATCATACTTAACACTTTCGACCCAAAAATAAATAAGTAAGTAACAAAATAAATATAAACCCAGTGCTACAAAAATCTTTAAATTTGCTTATGTACCAATTGTTTTGTGGTGCTTTTTTTGGGGGGGGGTAAAGATGTCTTGAACTTAAAAAAAAAAAAAAACATACTTCCGAGCGTAGCATCGTTTCACAGTAAAAAATGCATTCTCTCCAATGTGCCAAATCTATCACATGGAATTGAAATCAAATTATGATTAGTGTATTTCAAACCAGACATATTTTTGCAACCAGCCCCTTTAGTCCACACAATGGTTGAACCATGGTTGAACTCGCCCATTGTTCACGCCTGGCATAATCCACATCCAGCCCACACACCGGTAAATACATGGTGTCGAATACAATGTGCACAAAGGTTGTTCGCGGGTTCAGTACAGAAATGGTGGTCTCACAAATCCTACCGTGACCTTTCTGCGCTTGGTTGGCAAACTGCATTTTTGCCAACTACGGCCTGCAAAACTATGGAAGGTCCAACACTGCAAAAATGAAGTAGAGTTATTACAGATCACCAAAATGTTATTTGATACTTGAAAATACAACATTTTCAACACAGCTACAAAATAATTCCTACACATGCCTTTTTACTATGTGTTGACGGCGTTATGATGAATTTTTTGGAAAAATATGTTGCCAACTACGGCTTCAATTTATGCGCTTACGGCAGCCCATACAAAATGTCGCCAATGTTTACAATCAAAAGAGAGGCCTCCATGTGATGTGGTAGCAGACACGACAAGGTTAGAGGGATGTGATTTCCATCGTCAGGTTTCCCAAATTCAATCTTAAAGCTTACAAACATTGTCAGACGTAGCAAAAAGTATAATACATGTATTCTTTGAACAAACTTTAAAACAAGTTGACGCCCACTTTGATCGGGGCTTTGGATGTGGCTTTGATGTGTCTCCTTCTATCCTCACACCCCTCAGTGTGGAATGGACAGTCCCAACCAGGGATCTCACAAAATATCCGAGTTGCTGTCGGATTATATGCATGGTTGGATATTTCTTCCCCTATGATACATAACTTCCTCTCAGATCTGGTGGTTTGGTAAACTTTTTTACATAACAAATGCAGATGTAATATTTTTTTGTAAGGTCGGAATTGTGAGACGTTCCCCGATTAAAAGTTGGTCCGTTGTCGCACTTTAACCTTCTTCGCATCTGTACAGATTACAATCTGTAATAGCATTCAGACACAGCGTTGCCGGCTATAAAAGCAACAGACTGTTTCCTAATTTCATTAATGATGCTCGATGTCCAATATGCTCGGTGCGATGTGTGTAAGTCTTATAATTATTCTGAACTCAGAGCTTAGTGGCGAGATGGATTGCAGAAAATCCGACGGCCAATTTTCGGGTTCGTTGAAATCAGAATGAAATCAAATGACTCGGAAAACTTTTATCTCCTAAAAGCGCCATGCAGCTTTTTATTATACTACAGAACTGAACAGAAACCAGTACAATATGCAAAGAAAATGTGTTCTTGCACCGTCTGTTACGAGTGTTTGCACGCATTATATATCTCTGCAAATATAGCTTTGAATATAAAGGCAATCGCACTACTATCAATAAAGCTATACCCACACCGCGAAAATGAACGACAGTTTTCTAATGTTAATAATAATTATAATAATAAAAACTATTATACCGCCTTCCATTTATGAAATCCACCAAAATTGTAAACGAAAGATAAAACGTAAGTGTTTCAATATGTACATATCAAAATGTATATCAAAATAAAACCAAGTCTTTACTAATAATGATCATAATAGTCTAATGTACACCATACATAAAACTATGAAAACAGAAAAAAAAACCTTAATTGATCAATTACTAAAAAGATGAACAATTAACACAATAATCATTATAACACAAACAAAACGAAATGACCAAATACATTGTAAAAAAAAGGCCAAACACGATTTCCAAAACCGGATAAATCAAATGTTAAATCATGCTTAAGCCCTACAAGCCATTCAAAATGTTCAATTTAAAAAAAAAAAAAAAGATTAACCCACAGAACCCGAATTTTAATCTTGAAATATTGAATTTTCATTCAATAAAAAACATAACAAATGTCCAGTTCGGTGACGGCGGAGTTCAGCTGCTGTCCGTATACGGTACCTTACCAGCAACAACACGGCCCATATTCCCGTACGTAGGAAATCCACCTGGAACTTGAACCACTAATAATAGAGAGTCCAGTGGCTTTGGCCGTATATGTCTTCCAGGACCGTTGACATAGTGTTTATATCTTAATCTGACACTGGCTGAAATGAGTGTAATTTGTTTTCAAATACTAAACATGATTTCAAATAATTTTTAATATAATGGTCACAGTAATGTGTGCTTTTAATTTTATCTATTCAAGTTCAAATTAGAGTACAAAGAAGACTTGACTTGAATCCAAAACGTATGGATAAAACATGTCTGAATTTAAAAGTTTAACTATGTACAAATCAATTATTAAGTTCGTGGGCAATACCATGTGAAAAGATATCTCTTCTTGGAAGAAGTGTGGTTCTGAAAAGAACCGGTTGGTTGAGTGTAGAGCTCGACGTTTCGGACAATTTGCGCTGTCCGTCCTCAACTCAGTGCACTCAATCTTCTAAGGACAAACGGGGCACACTGTCCGAAACGTCGAGTTCTACACTCAACCAACCGGTTCTTTTCAGAACCACACTTCTTCAGAGAAGAGATATCTTTCCACATGGTGTTACCCGCAAACTTTATGATTTATGTCATCCGCCATGCTAAGCTTCAAGTCATATATATGTTAAATTGGTAATTATTTCTACAAGTATTGTTCGAGAAGTTCCCGAAGTAATCTTTAACATTTTGTACACTTCAAAATGTATTAATGTTACTCTGAACTAAAAATGTATTCACAAGCATCTTACAAACTTTTTCAAAATTTTAATTGTCCAAACTTTCAACTTCAACATAATACCACCACCTAAACATATTCCAATGCTCACTTAAACATGTATAACAACTAACTAATTGTATGCAAAGTTAATACAACAAGCTACAATATATGTTCTCTGAGTAAATTATCATAACTTGCTACAAAAGCTATGTGGCCTTTGAAAAATCTGCATTTTGGTAAATGTTGTGACACCTGTTATTATAACACAAACAAGACTAGCGATTTAATTTCCTGGGCCTTTAGTTTACTTTTTCAAAAAAAAAGAAGAAGAAAAAAGGCAAACATTACTAGTTAATTGAGTGTACTCTAGATCTATTTCTAAAATCTTGACATTCACAAAAAATGCAGTGTTTTCACAGATCACATTACAGCAAATTATACAGGCGTTAGCGATGCGCTTTAACATGTTAGCTCTTTCAACACATACTGCAGCTAATTATAACATCCACATAACATGGTTCTTGCGAAAGAGTCTTTGATGATTTAGGCATATTTTCAGATCTCTCTCTCCTCTACCTTCACATTTCATCCTAGTTGTCATCCTGATCGGGTCGGATGTTCAAGTAATGCTGGGACTCGGACTTGGGAAGCATCTGTATGTATCTCTGCGAACGCAAATGTTTAAATAAAGCCAAGTTTACGTTGGTTCTTCTATATTTCAGTTTTAATGAACAAGAGATCTGCAGTGTCACAAAAGAACTACTTACAAAAAAACCGATTATATTTCATTCTTATTTCACGCACCTGCTGTTTGTGGCTGTGAGCCATCGTGCCGAGGACTGAAGCCAGTCTCTTGAACGGAGGTCTGTCTTTCGGATCCTCCTTCCAGCACTGCAACATCAGTTCGTACCTGTAGAATTAAACTCAACAAATTTACGATTCTATCAGAGAGACCTTGTCAGGGCGGGGGGGGGGGGGGGAACGAGGGGATGGGAGACGTACCTGCGAAGAGGAGGGGGTGGGTAGCAGTCATTTGCTGTGCAATACATGGGAGAGTGGTTAGCCCTCCCCCACCCCACCCCACCCCATTCCCCTAGATCGGCCACTGTTGTGAACTATAAATATCGCATACCATTTAATAAAGGCCTTGAAAGCCTCATTCAAAATTATTAACTGTGTTCCATTGGTGGCAGAATATTCGGCCTTACCTCAGTTGCTTACTAAAAATATAGCACATTGAAACATGAACTTTGGATTCATGATGGCCAAAAACTCAAACTTTGAAATCTTCGTCATACGTACACATTTTGTTATGAATGCTTTCAAGATACTTCTGCTTTAAAAGTACGATATCCAAGATTTTTACTTCAAATAACCCAGTTGACCTTTCACATAGCAAACTTGCATGACCTGCACTAGGTTTAAATAGAAAAAATAATAAAACCTTCACTGTGCATAAGTTGGTTGCAGGTTCGTTTGTTTCCAAATCAATTCAGCATGAATAGAGCTCCTTTTTTAAGCAGTTAAACTTGCATCACTTGCACAAGGTTAAATAGAAAATATTATAAAACCTTCACTGTGGATAATTTGGTTGCAAGTTAATTGTTTCCAAATCAATTAAGCATGACAAGAGCTCTTTTTTTAAACAGTTTTCTCCAGAGCAGTTATACTTTTGTTGCTAAGGCGGTACATCAGCCCAATAGAGAATCTGTTCTTACATTTCGCTATCACAGTTGGATGGCTTAGGCATGCGATATCCATTTTCAAATCTGGTCGCCAAGCTAGCAGATGTGATGCCGGAGTACGGAGTCGCACCTGCAACAGTTTACAACATTAGAAAAATAGTCAATGTTTACGTAGCTGGGAGCACAATACTTCATATTTCCGTACACCTGGTTAAAGGTTCCCTCAATGTTGTTATGCACTTCAACGGATTTTATGAAAGAGTGAACAGCTAAATCATAAGCAAACATTCAAGCTTCATAACATTTCACAGCAAATTTTACCAAAAAAAATAAAAGTAAATATGTCTCTGAAATTATTGTTAACAAAGATTATTACTTTTATTCAAAGTAACTCACCCAGGGTTGCGATTTCCCAGAGGAGAATTCCGAAGGACCACCTGGCATTTTGAAGAAAGGAAGAAGACTATCCATTAGATGTATTTTTTTAAATTTATCTATTCTTTTTTACATCACCCCGTCGCAAAAAAAAATTCATCTCATGAAAAGTTTAACTGAAGCACCTGCTGCTACATGTACATCTGATTTGAATCAGCTAAGCGATCCCGCAAACTGGATGGTCGAGTGGTAGAACATCTGCACTAGAAAGCAGGAAGTCGTGGGTTCGAGTCCCAACCAAATATTTTTTTTTCAACTTTCACTCGGGAGGTAATTAAGTCTACGGTGTTTATACGTCGGTGAATGGGAAAAACCTAACACTGAGTTGGAAGAAAAATTATCCGAGTAAAATTCAGGGAAAAAATCTTATTTCTAAAGCAACTCTTCATGACGAGTAATGTATCAACATTAAACAATAATGAGAGTCTTGATCCGATTGCACTTATTACTAATTGACTTTTGAGACGCTCTGTGGCAGCTAACATACCAGTCTTTTTCAACGATGATTTTTTAGAGTGATTTTCTAACAAGTGCACATGCACCTTACACATTGTGCAACCAATTTGAGAAAGACTGCTGTGTTTGCACCCAAGCATCTGAAGTCTTCCATTCTGCAGATATCATACAAATAATGAATGTTTGTGAGTGCAATGGTACGAATAATTTCATGAGAGAGATGGAGTGTTCCATTCGACGAGGCAATGCCGAATGGAATGGAAAATTCCATCCGTCACTGATCTGTCTTCTGTAATGTTTCTTTCCATTGCACGAATTTGAAACATTCATTATTTTGTTTAACAACTCCTGAAACACAATTCTCGTCATCCGATTGGTCAGAGCCACAAAAGTGTGACCGCGCAATGAACTTCTATTTTTGCGGTGCGTCGGTTGGGATGAATAACTCAATGACGTTTGCTAGACGACGGACCGATGAGTAGAGAGGGATTTATTCAGGCGTTGTATGAATAAGCACATATGAATTTTGTGCCAACTGGTCATCCAGTGAAACTACATACATAGTGCATTGCCTAATGGTGATTCAGTGTAGTACAATGTACACATTTCACGTATTGTGCGTGGATTGCGAGGCGCGCTAAGCCAGGTGTCCTCCTCCACCGTGCACCAAATCATGCTCTTTGTGGGAAAAGTAGGCTCATTCCTACATCGAGTCCACGCCGTGACATGGCTATGCATCAAGCGTCAGTTCCTATCGGCCGTACTATACTAAAACACGTTCAGCGCGTGGACTTGTTTTTCATTTACTACATTAAACTGCATCAGTTGCATATTCTCCTTCATAGGTTCAGTAGTTTGGGAGTGGGCAACAGCGTGTTTTTTCCCCGCGAAATTTCGATTCAGAAGCTCGATCAATGTTGTGCAACATGATGGCTATGATATACTCACACGTCGCTCTTTGAGGTGTAGGTGTTGGTTTTCAGTGACTCAAAAGACAGCCAGCGTGGAGGAAGAGACACCTTGAGAGAAGCAGAAAAAAAGGTGGCACAATTGTTTTTGTCAGTTGTTTTTAAACATTTAAAATAATATCAGGTCGTCAAGTTCTTAACAGACCGTGGAATTGTTGGATGATATATTGTAGAAATTTTACATGTGATAAAAAGCTATAGCTTGTAATTTCAAGTGCTTCACTACACATGCGTGATAGTTAATGACATGTCGAACCTAAAGATACGACCACGGATGCGCTATACTGATGTTTGTGTCGCCATCGAAATCAATTAAGTCATTAGTGAGTACCTTGGATTTCTCGACTATGGCCTCCGCGCATCTTGCTTGTCCAAACCCAGATACCTTAGCAACCAGGTTGTCATCGAGGAGAATGTTTCGTGCAGCCAATTTACGATGGATAACCTGAGAAAAAAACCCCGCAAGTTAAGCAGCGAAGATTGTCGCCTGTATGACATTTAACTTTTAACAATTCTCCCGCTGTCTTCTTTTGTCTACACTCCCACCCCCTTATCCCAAACCAAAGAAGAAATAATAATAGCAAACAAATTTAAATGGAAAAATATTAGTGTTGGGTACCAACTTTTGGTTATATTTATATATAATTATGCGTACCTCTCCACTATATCATTATAAATAGACATTGTGACATTACAAAGAAGTATATTCAACACAAATCTTTCTTAATTAATTGATGAATTTGATATCATGACAGGAACTTACTCCAGATGCAGCAATGTGTTGCATTCCTTTGGCCACGCCCACAGCAAACTGAAGCAGTTTCACATCCGCCATAGACGAACGACTATCGTCCGCCGGGGATCGTGCATTTCTCAGGTAGGAACGCAGGTCACCATTTGGCTGGTACCCCAGGGCCACATACACAATACCTAGGGTTCAATTTAAACACGCTTTTAAACAAAATGTGTTCTTGTTTTAAAACATCACAAACGGATATATGCCTCACACACAACATGTGTTGCTTTGTTGACACCAATTGCATGTCAACGTTTCATCAAAAAGAACTGTATGCTGACATTATGTGTCCTATTTTTTAGCGGGAAAATATATTAGAATGTGTAGTGCATACGACCTTCATCGAAGCAAACGGCGAGAATGTTGACGATGTTAGGATGGGCTCCAATGTCGGATAGAGTTCGATATTCCTCCATGAATCTGTGCCTATCACCCGCTGACGAGTTCGCTAAGAAAAAGACAGGGTACACACTAAATAAGGGAATAAATGCATAATTGGGAGGTGTTAAACACTATGTTTAAGGCTGGTTGGAGACTGGAATGCTGATAATGACTCGAGGCGAAGACCGGCCAAATGACGGGCCAAAGTGAATGGGTACATTGTCTTAGGTATTTATGAATGTCAGGTGTAACAGTCGACAAAAATAGCTGTTTGACTATTAAAACCGTATGAAATGTATTATCTTATAGGAGTACAGGCTCCATGCATGATAATAGAGGGCGCTTTGCAACCTATCAGCAATATCGTAAGTAGCCGTTTCTGTTGCTCGCTCTCCATATTATTAGTAACTGGTTTTTTTTTTAAATGTAAATGAGGTTGTACTTGTGTTGCCTCTCCGTTTTAAGAATTGCTTGAGATACTCACACTTGAGTTGCTTGACTGCAGCTTTAGACTGCCCGTCATCTAAGATCACGGTGGCCATACGCACCTCCCCAAAGTGACCGGTGCCGATCACCTTGTAACCAATCGACAGCCGGCCAATTGGAATAATCAAGGACTCCGACCAAGGCTGAGCCACGTTCTCGTATGCCGAGCTGGCATCCTCGTTTCCCATGTCTTCATAGCCCTCCATGTGCACGGACATTCTTGCTGGTTCCTCTTTTGCTATTGGATTGTCATAGACTGTCTGTATGTAAAACATAACAAAAATTACTCCAACAGGTTCCATCTATCATATTTTTTTCTTAGTGTATTTCAATTCTTGATAATATCGACAAAAAATATTCGATAGCTAACTTTTAGGCACACTTTGTAGTAGAGAGAACCTCAAAAGTGTTTTTTTCTTCCCTTCTTAATTTGGAAATGATAGGCAGGTAAACAATTAAGTAAATCTACTGAGAAGCAAATCGGTGCCTTCTTTCACGGTAACATTTCATCGTTACAATCGACCCCAATTAGCTTAGAGGAATCGACCATCAAACTTACCATGTTCAGACCGCCACCCTCGGCCCGATTTTTGGAACTCAAACCTCTGCTGAGCCTTCGGAATCGCAGATAATCCACAACCACAGCGATCACAATCACCGCAACGAGGACACAGACGGCGACAATCAGACCAAGGTTGGATCCAGCAATTGTTGCCGAAGGGGAACTGTCCGAACTATCCGATTCCGCAGCTGTTGTGAATCACATCAATGTTTATTAACATTCAATGTATAAAGCAAGCAGATCAAGGAACCCGTTTCACGATTTCTTGGCAATGGCTGTCTGCCCGTTTTTATCTCCGCCGAGGAGGTTATGTTTTCATCGGCGTTGGTTTGCTTGTTTCGGTTGGTTGCTTGGTTGGTTGGTTTGTCTGCTAATAAGATAACTAAAAAATATATGGACGGATTGTCATGAAATGCTTTTAGAGATGGTCCTTGGTACAAGTGCAAATCGGTTAGAGTTTGGAAGTGATCCGTATCTGGGTCTGGATCCAGGGTTTTTGTTAAGGATTTTCAGTTTGCTTTTAACTTCACATTAACCCCTTGACGCCGGGATTATCATGCCTCACTTAACCGGTTTACACGCATTACTGCACAGCGGCCTTTGTCAGGTAGCAGCTGCATGGTCCACAGGCCGCATATAAACACGGTGTATTACGACTTAACAACATACCAGGACGGATTAGCGGAAGGCGACCAAAAATGCTATTTTTAATCAATTCAGAATACAATGTGTATGAGCAATCCTTCACATTTTAAATGTGCAATAAAATATGGAAGTCCAGTGTATATGCGAGTATTTCTTTGTGGTGTTCTGACAATATTGTGGGAACTGTTCAGCTTTGGGGCTCTTTTAGTGCTTTCTGGTTTTACCTATTTGTTTATCGTCCATTAAACATACTTTTGTTCATACCTTGAGGTTCAGTTCTGATTGTTGTGACAGGGCTCCTCGGGCCTTCCCCTCCTTCCCCCTCACGCACCGCGGCCACGCTGAAGTTATACACGGTCAATTGTTGCAGTGATTCGAAATTGAAGCTGAATGAGTTTGGAGGTTGGTAAATCGCCGAAATGTAGAAAGCCTGATTCTGAGAACTACTGGAGTAGACGGACTGGTAGATTTCATACCCGATGATAGGCCCATCTCCAGAGTCCATGGGATGAGAACCCCACGCCTTCCAGGTGACAACAGCTGAAGTGGATTTCACTCTTACCTCGGGGGGCTGGCTTAGAACAGGTAGAACTGAAACAAAATGTGACATTCGATGTGGAAAGATGGCGGCATCTATTTGATGGCAGCCATCTACCGTTTCTGAACAAAAAACAATCAACGCTGAAAAAAAATGTTGTCCTAGTAACTTGATGTATTCAGGCGATACTTACCAAACTTGCATATTCCAGTCTCATCCGTCTGAAACTGTTCGAGACACCGACCGCTTTGGCAGGATCCTGTGATACCATCACATGCTGCGTCATCCAGACAGTGACATTCCTTCCTGCAGTCTTCACCGAAGTAACCAGCCTCACATTGCCCTGCAGAATCAAAGCACAGATTAATCTCAACATGCAACTGACAACGATTTATTATCGTAATTATTTCCAAACAATAAAAGCCTTTGTTTTTGTTAGGATTGCTTGTTTTAATTATTTTCTTTTTTTCTTCTTATAATCAAATCACATACAGACTTCTGTACACGATTTTCCTCTACACTACTTTTATCATTTGTAAACATTGTGTCTTAACCACACTTGGCTTAAGGGAAGACCACAGCCCATAGACGGTCTGCGAAACGTGATGACGTCATCACAGGCCATGTGACGGCATCCTAAAGGTGCATATTTCAAAGCCCTATATCTAGAGAACTGTTAGTCCTATTGGGTTGAAATTTGGTATGAATGTAGACATGGACGTGTTATAGGTAATAATTGAAAAAAGTCACGATGACGACATCTTTGATTATGGTATATATCTAGAAAACTGTCAGTCCGATTTAGTCCCAACTTGGTAAAATGGTATACCAGGATGTTATTGGCAAAATTTGAGTTGACGTCATGATGACGTCAGCATGTGATTTATATGGATTTTTGAATTTTTGAATCTTAAAGCCGTATCTCATCAACAAAACATGCTATTATTCGAAATTGTTTTGTTAATAAGTTTGTGAGGTCATAGATATTTGCACAAAAATGTGACAAATGTGTGACGTGAGAAATTTTTTATGATTATTAATTTATTTTGTTGAATCTATTTTGTTTTTTATTTACTTAGTTATTTGTATGTTTTTAAACACATAAGCGAAGGTTTTTTTCGTCATGAACTTGTTGGGAAGCTAGATAATATAAATATGTAAACTACGACGTGACGTCACGATGACATCGATTAATTTATTGAAACAAATTAAATGAATTTAAAGTTATTATTATTGAATGAAATATTATTAAATATTTCTTAAATGTTTAATTTGCATTTTGCAAATGGATGAAAGAAACATAAACATTACAAATTGTCAAATTGCGAGAAGAAAAAAATCTATGTTCTGTTCATGGACCAGACATAGACCTCAAGTCTTTACTTGAATTCCAATCAATCTACAATGCAGAGGACATTTTTTGTCTTACTTGATACACAGGTGATTCCTGGGGCGCATCCCACGCTGCAGTATCCAGTGTCCTTGTCGCATGCTGCATCGCCTAGACAACGGCATTTACTCAGGCAGTTGAGACCATAATAACCAACGGGGCAAATATCTGGAACTATATGAGACAATTACAGCACTTATTTATAACGATAGATACTTTAGGGAAAATCACAATAACCACATCGTGACTGAGACCTAGATGCCGACACCCCCCGTGACCTCTTGGTCAAGATCCATAGAGGATGTTTTAGGAGGAAACTAACCAAGTACCAAGTACTTGCAAGGGCAATTATTTCGATGTTTAAGAGAAATCCTTAAGCTTCATTTCTTGGCTTTGACTTTGGATGTTTTTGTGAAATAGAGCTTGAGCCGGTGTTGTAGACTGCCGTGCCCCGTGGAAGTTGTATAAGAGAAAAGTATTGTATTTGGCAGAACAAATAATACACTTTAGTGGCAATGGGGAGTCTCACGAGAGCCATTTGTTATAAAAAAACGGCGATGATCCGAGATGATGGACGAGCGAATGTCTTTCAACCCCAAAGCCAGTTGTTCCCGATCTATGGGCTCTCTTTAAAACTTACTTTGACAATTTGTACCAGACCATCCTTCCGCGCAGCCAGCGTAGCTACACACTCCTGTATATCGGTAACAGTCATTGCTTGGACAGTGACACTCCTGAAGACATTCGGCACCGAAACGTCCGGAAGGACAAGCTAATCGAGATTGTTTGATGAACACACATACGTAGAAGACAAAAACATGCGATCATATTTTTCTCAAATCATTTCCCCGTAGTATTAAGTGGCTCTGTTAAAATATCGGTGTAATTATACAACTTTATTTTCTAACTGATGCTAATTGGAAATCGATGCAGATTGTATAATTAGACAAATACTGTGTAGAAGAAATCGAGAAGTGAGCGATGCACACTAGAAAGAAATTGCAAACGGTTTTTGTCTTTCATCAAAATCGTGTTAACTACAATAAGCTTGAACTGCGCTAAAATACAATAAACTGTACTTAACCAGGGTCGGCTTAATCAGGTAGGCACAAATATGTTTCTTTGAGATTGCTTATTTGACAGATAGCACTGAGTTCGCTTTCGGGATTTTGTTTCAAAATGTAAGTGACTTTACAACTCAACTAAAAAAAGACACGTTTTGGAACGCGTCCAGAGTAAGTTAGGAAAGCTTCGTTGTGAATTTTTTTACTGCTAATATATTTCTATAAAAGACCGTTTAAATGTATACGTACAATTACTGCATGCATAGCCACGATAACCAGTGACGCAGGTGATGCCGAAGGGGTCTGGTAAACCAAACTGAGCGTTACTACACGAGCCAATAAATGGATTACTGCCACATCTATACTCGCAATCCCAGCCAAAGTAACCTGTTGGGCAGGCTGTTGATAAAAAGTATTCGTCAGAATAATAAATCACAAACCCATTAAGTAAACAGTTTGCTACTTTATCAGCCAAGACTCTTTATAATGAGTGTATTGGAGAATATAGCATGGTTTCGTAGTTTTTGCAACACGACTCGAGTTAAGTGGCCAAGAATATCGAGAAAAGACACATTTATAGACTTCGTACCTTTAAATGGCTGGACTAAATTGAGTCGTTGCTCTGATTAGATTGTTTTGATTGACATAGGCGTCGCCCAAAAAAAATTCGGGTAGGGGAAAGGGCATTTCCCCCAAATCCTTGTACTTTCTTTAGCATATCCTCAATTTATCATTTTATCGAGGGTGGGCGGGGGACATTTGCCAACCCCACTCCCATTGACACCCTATCAGGCAGTGACATTACCTGTGAGGCAGTTAATTAGCATCATGAATCTCGGTGGCAATGCACTCTCCTGTTTTATCATCACACACCCCTCCATTGTAACACATATCACACACGCAGACAGAACCGAACCGACAGACAAACCAGACAGGCACTGAGCTTACCTGTGAGGCAGGTTGGTCCACTAAATCCTGGTTGGCAGATGCAATCTCCTGTCTTGTCATCACACACTGCAATTGTATTACAGATCACTAACCCACTCCGACAACCCTCCCGACATCCCGACTGACAGACGGACATTGATCTGGCAGTGACCTTACCTGTGGGGCAGTTTCACCCGCTGAATCCTGGTGGATAGATGAAATCTTCTGTTTTATCATCACACAGTGACACTTCTCCAATGTAGCACAGATCACACACCTAGCCCAACATACATACAGCCCCACCAACAGACAGTGGTCAGGCAACGAGCTTACCTGTGAGGCAGTTTGGTCCCATGAATCCTGGTGGGCAGATACAATCTCCTGTCTTATCATCACACACTCCTCCATTGTAGCACAGATCACAGACACCGTCACAGGTGGGAGGACCCCATTTACCTGCAACACAGCCTAAGGAAAGAACAACAACATATACATGTTATATACATGTTATAGTGGAACAGGATATCACTTTGAAAAAGTACGTTGTTACTACATGTACCAAGTTATTCATGTTGTATTGAAACAGTTTTGATGCGTGTGTTTCTATAATGAATTATTGTGAAATAAGTTACATCATAACAGAAACGAAATGATGCCTGGGGATTGGATGGGGTCCGTGGGTATGCGATGAAGGAGTGGTCGCCATGTATCAGCCCCAGTGTTTACATTTGCAACATCAAAATAAAGGATAACAAACATATTGGTTTCCTTTAGAAAACTGTGTGCAAGGGGCCGCGGAAACCCTTGGCGACTGGACACATTTTGGAACCTCGGTATTTCTCCTGTTATAAGTATGTCGACCTTTAATATGGTATGTCGACCTTTAATATGGACCTTTAATATTTCTTTTGAATTTGTCTTGACTTATTGAGTGACCTTTCCACGGTGTACATCAGATTTTATTCCGCACATTTGGGAGTTGCTTACCTCTTACGATGAGTCTTATCAGGGTGAACTTGTTATCACTGAGTGAATAACGAGAATCCACGACAGCATACACGTCTCCATGCTTGGCCTGGCTGGGAGGTATCGTTATTGTACTCATTCTATCGTAGTCAGTTAAATTGGTAACGACCCCATCCCTGATCCGACGCCATGACGCATAATATGTGGTGCTCGCGCGGTAACTTTGCACAGACAGAGTGACATTTTCCCCTTTGCTGATGGTCTTCGTCAGCAGTAATTCATTTCGACTGCCTGGATAATACCAACCTATAATGTAATTAAGAGAAATTTAAACGGTATTTTTTTTCATTCCACATTCCATGGGTAGGCCTTTCGTTAAAACTATGTTTCACTTTGCAATACTATATGTTTTCGATCAAGTCCAACCTAGGGGGCAACATTAATTTATAAAAAAAACGTTTCACAGCGTGCATTTTACATATTAGAGTTTTTCAGGTTTCAGATCCCCCCTTGGTTCATATACAGTTAGAAATACTACATGAATGCTACATGTCTTTAATATTTGTGGCAGGGTTCGTTTTGAATCATCAATTTGGACTCAGTCGATGACCATTATTGCCAAACATGAAAAAAGTATGCAAAACTGCATACATGCATTAATATAATAATTGCAATTATAAACCGAAATAGGGCTTATAGAACAGAAATTGATTTTGATCCCCAATAGCGTCCAAGATAATGGTAAGATATAAATATCGGCAGATATATTCCTTTCCATCCAGGGGCGAATAGAAAAACGGCAAATAAATGAGAACGTTTTGAAAAATCAATAGGCTATTAACTCACTGTAGTAGTTGAAGACACTGCTGTACACCCGCGTTGCCTGGTCTCCCTTTGATCCCTCGCAGTAATATAACCCTGTTGCATTGGCGTTGCTCTGAGGCAACTGCTTGTATTCTTGTTCCTCGTATTCTCCACTGATTGTACCATCTGAGAAGGAGGTGGATGACTCTATCCCAGCTCCTGGCAGATGTACGGGAAGCCTTCCAAAGCTCAAATCAGCATTTGTATCAGGACTGCTTCGGTAACAGACCAGACTAATTTGGCCAGATATCCCCGCTCGATAGAAGTAGCGTGTAACCATTGTCAGATGTAGAGAGTCATCTGCATACACCGAACAAAAATCACTTTTTAATGCTGATAAATGGGAGAAAAAAATCGTTTTTTTTGTCCGCTTTCAACATATTTCACTTAATAAGCACAGTAGTTTCGTTTTATGTTAAAAAAATACTCAGGAAGTCATCTTTTTTGTATTCAAAATTAAATAGAAAGCAAACAAATATCTTTCCTAAGGCTCTTTGCTCAAATCAGGGTAATGATAAACTGGTGACCAACATGCGCAGTATACAGTTCTGGATTGTGCACAATTTTGGATCTGGTCCAAGGTTTGCAATCCGGCGTAAATATGATTTAAAAGTAAATAAATGGATTCAGTAAGTCTAAATTGCTTCATAACAATTTTGCATTGTGTCTTTTACTGTTTTCTCTAAAACTACATTAATTTTTAAATGTGCGTACATTTTATTGCAAAACTATTTTACTAATATTCCGCAAATCATCGCGGGAAAGCAAAATGAAATCTGAATGGAAAAGAAAAGTAAACGGTACTTGCCATTAGCTTCACTGAAGACTAGCATAGAAGCCATCAATATAGCGAGCTGCATGATGCCTGTGCGATGTCCACGAACCCGGAAACAAGCGGTCATTTCTTTTGGAAAACACTTCGCCATTTTGTTCACTGAACGTTTTTGGTTTGACGTTTTTAAACTGTCCTCCAATCCTGGCTGAATATTAAGTAGGCCTATCAGTGACGAATGTATACTTCTTAGCAAGCGAGGATTACATACACGTCATAACTATATTAGATTCGGCAAAAATGTTTGGTACACAAGCTTGATATTTCCTTCTGAAATGAACCACACTATGTTGCGCACTCAGAATTCTACCACTCCCGAATATGAATATTCATCAGATTTTCACTCGTATGAGAAGCAACAAGGTACATTTAGCTGGTTTGCATAAAACAATTTGTTTATGAAAGAACGTTGAACAAACACATTCTAAGAGGAAGTTCAAAACCAAAGGGGAAAAAATATATTTGTAGTCAGTCAACCGTGCAGCATCCGACCAACTGTAACACACACTGTGAGATTACTGTGGGGGCATTCCATTCCAAATTGAAGGGGGATGCGAGGGTAAAAAGAGGCAAATTAAAAGCCACATTAAAAGCCCCCAAATTATTATGGATATCGACTTGTTTTACAAGTTTATCACAATCTAAACTGTAGCATTAGTTCGGCTACCTCTGAAATGGTCTTTACGCTTTAGGTCCGATTTGCGAAACCTGATGAGCAACACACCCCTCGAAGCACCCTATCCGTTTGCCATACAATCCCATTTGATTTCATGCTCGAGGTAAGCTTTAGAAAAAGCTATTTTGGTCGAAGGTTTATGAAACCTACATTTCTTTGCTAAATCCGTCATATAGAACTGTGCGCATTTAAAGTGGCACCTTGCATGGGTTGACTCGTTTCGGTTTTGAGGAAGGGCTATATGACAGGGATCTATCTACGAATACTAGACAAGTTCCGGCAAATTCAGTTCGGAAGTAATACACACGTCTCCGGTTCGAAATTCAGGGGGGAAGGACACCTTTTTTTATAAGAAGTATAAGCAAACCCCATTCTTAATATAGGGGTAGGACAATATTATCATTACAAATACACGCGACCTCCATTTTCTGAATTAAAGGATGCGGACAATTTTCACTTAGAAATAAACGCAACCACTCTTTCTAATTTTAGGAGGGCGGGCAATTTTATCATGTGAAATACAGGCGACCCCCTTTTTTATTTAGTAGGTCGGACATTCCCCCTTCCAGAATTTGGCGGTCAGGGAAAATCCTCGTTAGAAATACACGTGATCCCCTTTCCAAATTGAGGGGGTCGGCAACATCATCATTAAAAATACATAGTAGGAATAATACCCTTTCCAGAGTTTCGGAATCAGGGGAAAATCATACTTAGAAAAATACAGTTTTTCAAAATAAATGGCATTCATTAAAATAGCACCGCATCATTAGAAATATGCACAATCCAGCTTTTCAGAATTTACGAGTTCGGGAAAAGTATTCATAGAAAAACATGCGACCCTCTTTTCAGGATTAAGGGGATCGAGGAAATTATGATATGAAAAACGTGCGACCCTATTCAATATTTTAGGGGCGGACAATATCATTACAAATGTACACAACCTGTTCCCTTCAGAAATTATTAATGAAGCTTATCAGCTATGATTTTTGATTTAAAACATACGACGTGAGAAAACTTTTGAGGGGTCTACGAATTTGAAAGATTGTAATTTGAGCCGTTTTAAATAAAAAAAGACAATTTTTTTTTGAATTGAATATTTTCCATTTACAACCCCTAATGATTCAACTATGGCTAAACTTAGCCACTATTCATTGGTAGATCCCTGGCATAACCTGTATAAGGAATAAAGCTACATCCAGTTCTTGAACGCGGAAAATGTAAATACATAGCGCAGTATATAGTGTCTACAATAATTGTTAATTGGTTCAATAAAGAACTGAGTGTAGGTTTCTTGTGAAAGTTTTAATGTTTGACCACGATTTAAAACAGGTCGATGCCTATTTTGGTTCGGGGCTTTGGAGGTGGCTTTGATGTGTCTCTTTTTCCCCGAACATTCCTCTTCAATGAATGGAATGCCCCATCTAGGGTTCTCACCAGTAGCGTATCCAGCTTTTGATGCGGGGGTGGGGGGACAACCACACATCTGCGCCGAAATGTAGACATGTTTTTTCTCCGGACACTTGGCCTCCGTAAAATCAAAAATGCGGGGGGGGGGGGGGGGGCGCTGGTACCCATTTTCCAAATGGGGGCGCTCTTCAAAACTGACCATTATTGTGCACATTGCAAATTATACAACCTATATGCCTATTTTCACGGCACATTGTAATGGTTTTTGAGCGGGTTTGTTCCTAATGCTATTCACATGTTCAACGACAATGCAAGCAGGGTCTAACTAAGGGTTGTTAGCACTTTTTACCATGGTCTTTGTAACGTATTTTTCGCACTCTTGGAATGGATTGGTCGGGGCAGCGTTGATTGGTCACGGGGGGCTACGGGGGTAGGAAGGCTACTGGGTGTTTTTTCTCTCTGCATCCTTCCAGCCTGGTGTTGTCTATGATGTCCCATGTGACCGGTGGGCGTTGATTTGGCTGGTGCATTTGTTTAGTGTGCGGGTTTTTTGTTGCTTTGTATTTCAAACTTCTCTTATTTTGTAATTTATATAGTTTTGATATTGACTGTGTGTACTTGTATTTGGCCAGTGGATGTCAAATTTCTCTGTTTTTTAACGTGGACACTAAATATATTGAATTGAATTGAATTTAATATTGAATTGAATTGTGGGATTGATGTCAAAACTCTCTAACCATTTAATGAAATAATTGCTGAAAACAATATTTGTCACAAAAATCCGCCGGGGGGGGGGGCAGGGGGCAAGTGTCCTCCCCCGCTCCTCTCTGGATACGCCACTGCATGGTCCCCACAGTGTTCGAAGATGTATTCTTGGGGATAGTTTTTCTCATGGTTTTGAGCTTCCTTTCGACTGTGGTCGTTTGTTCAACTTTCCCTTATTACATTTGCAGATGTAATGAATTATCATATCCGTGAGTGGCGGATTGAGAAGTAGTGCAACGCTTTACTGTTCTTCGCCAAACATTATTATACATTACAATCAGTGGCGTAGCCACGGGGGGGCGTGGTGTGGGGGGGGGGGGGGGGGCGACCGCCCCCCCCCCCCCCATGAAACCTTGTCGCCCCCCAGTCGCCCCCCCCCCCCCCCCCACTGAGATTTTGAGTTTCTGAAAAAAATTATCATTGATCTACATGACGCTATGGGCCCTATTATGTACTACAATGTATCTTTTGCTTAGAAAATATTGGTTAAAGTGGTCAGAAATTGCCTCAGATAGCACCACAGAGCATTTAGAATCCAACATTTTTCGGGGCCCTTTAGCGGGCCCGGAACCCCACGCCAATAGCTCAGAATACCGATAGCTGATTCAATGTCTCCAACCTCGAAAACGATTTTCAAATAATTATCTTTTGCCAAGAAAATATTAGTTAAAGCATGGCGGAAAGTCGTAAGAAATTGCTTCAAATCACACCACAGAACATCTAGAATCCAATTTTTTTCGGGGCCCTTAAGCGGGCCCCGAACCCCACACCGTAAGGGCTTTGCGCTTCGCGCTTGCATCAGTTATGATCAAGGTATGTCCCCCCCCCCCCCACTTTTGAGAAGCGATTGACGCCCCTGCTCGACGCCCCCCATGAAATGTTCCAGCCCCCCAGCGCCCCCCCCCCCCCACTGAAAAATTCCTGGCTACGCCACTGATTACAATCTATAGATGGTATTAAGTTACATGTTGACCGCACGAGACTGCTTGCTAACCGCGCCAATGATTCTCCTATTATATAGAATCTGCCAAATGTGTGAAAATCATAATTATAACTTAAGTTCAGGGCTATATCGGTAGGAGAATGTCAGACAATTTGACGGCACATTTTAGGGTTTAGGGACATGGGATATACATCATTCGGTTCGCTATATTGATGGCTTCAAAACATTGCATTAAAACGTAAATAGTCAACAACAGAAAACCAAATCTTACAAGCTCAAACTGTCATGCCAGAATTTATTCTATTATAGAACTGATAAAAAAAACCAACTAAAAATCCCCCAAAAAGTATGTGTGCTTGTTTAGTTTGTTATAAGTGTCTTTACGAATTTTACTCATTTCTGCAAAGATAGCTGTCAAGATAGAGGCAATCGTACTGTGATAGGTCAAGCTACTCATGCCGCCACAACGAACCCCACTTTTCCAGTGTTAAATCGCGCTATTTCCTCACAGGACCGTTGGCATACGTTTTACAACGAATCTGGTGTAGGCTGATCTGTGTATAATTCATCAAATACTAAACATAATTTCAAATAATATTAGAGTATAACGGTCAATGTAACGTGCACTTTAACTGTTAACTATTAGAATTCAACTTGACGTACACATCAGACTTGGCTTGCATCAAAAACAAAATCTACGGATAAAAGGCATATATGAACCAAGAACTTAAACCATGGAAAAGGCAAATTCCTTGAACAAGTATTGTTCTTGAAGTTGCCTTTCATTTGAAAAATATTGTACACTTGAAATACATTCATTTTACTGTTTCAAAACAAAATCAAGCATACCTCTGTTACAAACCGATCTTTCAAATCTCCATACCTTCAACTCAATTTCAAATGCCAACATTATCATGCTACAGCCAACTAAATCCACTTCAATGTTCACTAATACATGTATATAAAAATGGATTATATGTAACTTAAACCTATTACAACGAACAATAATAAATGTTTCTCTGAGTAAATGTCATAATCGCTATACATGCGATGCGACCTGTGAAAACTCTTTGCGTGGTAAATGTTGTGATGTCTATTTCATTCCTCAAGCAAGATTAGCACCTTTCTGGGCTTGATTTTTTTTTTTACAAACAAAACAACACGAAACATTCAAGCTCAAATTAGTTTGCTTTAAAAGGTCTAATGCAGATTTAAGATGTTCATTTTCTCAAATCTTGACATTCACCAAAATGCAGCGTTTTCACAGATTACATTATTATCATAAATGAAAAGCTTTCATTTACAAAGGCGTTGGCGATGAGCTATTTAAAGTTAGTTCGTTCAACACTTAAAGCTAAATACGCAATACAATATGATTCTTGAATGTGTATAATGATGTATGCATTTCTTCATCTGTCTCCCCTCTCTCTTGCCCTTTCTCTCTCTCTCTCTCTCTCTCTCCTCGTCGTCAGGTTTCATTCTAGTTGTCATCCTGATCAGGTTGTATGTTCAGGTAATGCTAGGACTCGGTCTTGGGTAGTATCTGCATGTACAAAACAACATTACCCGTAATGATTATATCAGAGAGTAGTTGACTAATCATTTGCGGATATAGATTGGATCAAGTGAGGGGGGGGGGTAACTATCAGGGGGGTATTTTCTGCACAATGCAATATTGTCTCTATTTTTGTGCGGCCCAAGAGGGTTTTTTTAGAGCCCCTAGCCTTATCTTTAGATTTGCCACTGTGTTTTGAGACACATCAGATAGTTAGATAAAGGTCCTCTTGTAGAACCTAAAGGAAGTGTTTTTCCCCCTAAATTTGGAGACGATAGAAAGGTTAGCAATTAACTGAATCTACTGAGATTACAAGCAACTGGTGCATTTCTTTGACGCTACTATGTCGTCGTTACAATGTCCCTAATTGCGTATAAAAATACAGAGAGGTATCGTCCATCACAATTGACATGTTTAGGGCGCCCGTTTGTAGGCCGTTATTGGAACTCCATTGTCACAATCTCAGCTACGAGCACACAGACAGCGACAATCAGACCGACGTTGTTTTTGCCGAAACACCGTCCGATTCATATGCAGCTGTCATGGATCACACCATTGTTTATTATTATTGTGTAAAGCAAGCAAAGAGATCAATGAACCCCTTTCATGATTTCTTGGCAATGACTGTTTGCCCATTTTGTTACATATTTGTTTATACTCTCTATCAAGGGAGGATTCAGAACACATTTTTGTGTAGGGGGGGGGGCACAAAACAAAATTGGGTCCCCAAAAAGTGTGTCCGAAAAAAATTACGGTGTGGGGCCCGGGGAAAAAGATGGTGGTGTACTCATTGCCTGCCTTTATTGCGCAGTCATCTAAAAGAAAAAAGAGTCTGGCCCCAGACTTTCCGCTCATACCTTGAGGTTGAGTCCTGATTGTTGTGACAGGGCTCCTTGGGCCTTCTCCTCCTTCCTCCTCACGCACCGCGGCCACGCTGAAGTAATAAACTGTCAACTGTTGCAGCGATTCGATATCGAAGATGAAAGAACTTGGAGGTTGGTAAATCGCCGAAATGTAGTCAGCACTAGTCAAAGAAATGCTGGAGTAGTTGGAGTGGTAGATTTTGTATCCAACAATAGGCCCATCTCCAGCATCCAAGGGATGAGAACCCCATGCCTTCCAGGTGACAATGGCTGAAGTAGATTTCACTCTTACCTCAGGGGGCTGGCTTAGAACAGGTGGAACTGAATGAAAAACATCAACATGCGAAACATATGTACTGTGAATAGTAATGCCACATATTGTTCTGTTGATAGAACCCCATCTTCCGTTTATGATTAAACTAGCAATCGACACTGATCAAAGCCCCGTTCTTGTAACCCTAATGTATTGAGGAATTTTACGTGACGTCACATGTCAGTGGTCACCCAAACGTCCGCCATAATGGACGTTTACTAGTAGATAAGCTGTCAAAGACCCCTATGATATAAAAACGCACATTTCCGAAATTCAGGAAAAATACTCGTAACTCTCCAAAGGTATTTGAGACCCACATCAAATTAAAGCTTATTTCATCATCTTTCATTGTTCGTACATATTTTTGTTGGGTTAACTGATGACGTGTTGGAGAAAATTCCATCCAAAGATGATCAATGCAATGAGTCATTTGCAATGTACACGTACAGTTAGATCCATCGATGGGGGCCACGCTAGACGTCCAAAATGGTGCATCTTACCCAGTTCAAGTGATAAGGTCAAGTTGATGCAAAACTTTAATTCATGTGATACTTACCAGACTGACATATTCCAGTCCCATCCGTCTGAAATGGTGCGATGCACTTCTTGCTCGGACAGAATCCTGTGATGCGATCACATGTTGCGTCATCCAGACAGTGACATTCCTTACTGCAGTCTCCACCAAAGTAACCGGCCTCACATTGCCCTGCAAAATTAAAACACCGATTAATCCCAACATGTAACTGACCACGATTTGTCATCGTAATCATTCCCAAACAATAATCTTGCTTAGAATCCCATCCAATCCACATTGCAGGTAACATTTTTATCTTACATGACACACAGGTGAATCCTGGGGCGCATCCTACATTGCAGTATCCGGTGTACTTGTCACATGCTGCATCGCCTAGACAATGGCATTTACTCAGGCAGTTGAGACCATAATAACCAACAGGACAGGTATCTGGAACTATAATGAGAGAAAACTGTCCATGTTTAAGAGAAATCCATAAGCTTGGTTTCTTGGATTTGACTTATGGATGTTCTTGTGAAGTCGAGCTTGAGCCATTGCGGCAGACTGCTTCGTGGAAGTACTTGAAGAGAAACGTATTGCATTTGGAAATGTTTTACCATGCACCGTGTCGCTTTATAAAATTGCTCCCCCACCATCATTTTCACGTAAATATAATGGTTCGCATGAACTGCAGGTATTTTTTTTTTACATATTTGTTAAACATAAAACGCGGATTCCCATATATGTGTACATGCAAATATAGCATGAAGGTGAAGAGTGCCCTGCAGGTTGATGTGATCCCCCTGCCTGTTCGAGTTGTCAAAATCGTAGGACTCGTAAAACTTGTATTTGTTTGTTTAGGACCACAGTTAAAAACGTTGACACCAGTGGTCCCATTCCACCTATATAACGTTTTTTTTTCAGAATAATAAATAAGAAGGATTGTTTCTCAGACCCTCGGTTCTTTTCAAAACTTACTTTGACAGTTTGTACCAGACCAACCTTCCGCGCAGCTTCTGTTGGTACACACTCCTGTGTATCGGTTACATTCATCAGCTGAAAGGCAGTGACATTCCTGTAGACATCCAGCACCAAAGCTTCCCGAAGAACACACTTATTTAGGTTATTTAGTAAACACAGATACACGGAAGAGAAAAAAAATACGGTCACATGTTTTTTATTTTGTATTAGACCGATAAGTGGCGCTGTCAACAGAATTTGTTTATCACAACTTTATATTGAATGATGCTAATCGGGATTCGCAGTGGATTGTGTAGATAGAAACAAATATTGTATAGAAGAAATCGACAGAAGAAAAAACAACAACAATAACAACTTTGAAACACAAGTTTAAACACGATGGATTTCGGAAGAGCTTTGTAATACTTTATTCTCGCGTAGGAATTCATACGTACAGTATCTGCATTCATATCCACGATGGCCGTTGATGCAGCTGATGCCAAAGGGATCTGGTAGTCCAAACTGGGAAAAAGCGCAGCTATTAAGCTGACCACTCCCACATTTATACCCGCAAGCCCAGCCGAAAGAGCCAATTGGGCAAACTGATGAGAAACAAATATTCGTCGAAAACACATTTGTGTAATCAGATTTTGATTCAACAATTAAAGACTCCTAATGAGTGTTGTTATACCTCGACTGAATTCGTAGTTTATGAAACTACACTCGATTTTACTAAAGTGTTAAAACAAATCGACCATAAAGCCACTAGTCACTGTCTGCTTTGAGTGCTCACCTGAATCGATGCCCTGAATGGTGGTATTTACTTGGGTATTTGTGGTATTTTTGTTCTTTTCCACCGTCACTGTAAAACATGCAAAAGCTTACCTGTGAGACAGTTTGGTCCCATGAATCCTGGTGGGCAGATGCAATCGCCTGTCTCATCATCACACACTCCTCCATTGTAGCACAGATCACACACACCGTCACAGGCAGGAGGACCCCACTTGCTTGCAACACAGCCTGGGGAAAAGAACCAACAACAAATATGGTGATACATGATATCACTTTGAAAAACTATGTTGTCACTACAACTTTATTCATGTTGTTTTCACACACTTGCTCTCTTTTGAGTTTTTCTTTTTTAGATCATGAAATATAACAGCAGATTTTTAACTAGTTACATCAACAAAAAAACAAAATGATGCATTTTCGGTCAAAAAGAAACTTCATATGAAGGTGATTTAACCCCTTATCCATTTAACTCAACTTCCAATTGTTGGGTTCACTCTAGTGACTGTTAACGAGGACCACATTTAGCCCAGTCGCCCAGGGGGTCGGCGCATTCACCGAGTATTCAAAATGAAACTAATTTGTTTGTTATCCTAATGGGGTCTAGTTAACAAATTTGGATGTTGAAAAACGAATTCAAGGCAGGGGCTTTGGGGACCTTTGGCGGCATTTGACGGCCACCTTGAATTTCTTCCTCGCCACTGACAAACTTCAAGGGGGTCGACTTGGGGGTTTTCTTTTAATTTCCCTACATTAATGCATTAAATAGTTATGTTAAATAATTACGGAAACATACAGTACAGAAGCTTAAAATGCACCTGTTTGATGTAGGTTTAAGGGACGCAAGTACAAAACTTTGCATGAGACGTACGTATTTTAAACAGCGCCCTCTTGTGTCATATATTTCGCTTGAATGTATGATTTTGCAAGAATGTATGGGTGCGTTCGTTTAGCTCACCCAGGTCGACACGGGGCGACCCGTGCCGTAGTTGATTAGCTCTAACGTCATTCCCAGGGCTGACTCACCCGGGTCAGCCACCAAAGACCCTGCTCGTGAAGCAGAGACACTGGTGAAAATACGTCACGCATGCCGGTTGTTCATACCAAGAGGCGGACAAATTATGACGGCCGGACGGCGGAAATCTCAAGTGGACTTTAAAATAACTTTATTTGAAGTCTGAACTTAATCATTTCTTGAGTTCATTGCGACTTCTGAGGCTGTAACTCCAGCCAAGCTTTCTTGAGTTTTGCAGTTGACTGAAAAGCTCTAAATCTCAAACTAAAACCCCAATCTGAAACGGGTGTTCTATCAGTGGCTACGGCCATGACGGTTGTTGCTATACGGGCGTAACGTGAGGATCGTGATGACCCGAAATTGAGCGTTCGATTAGCCCGGCTGTCGTGGCTAACCCGTCTGCCTTTACGCGTGTCGATCCGGGTGAACTACTCGCACCCTTATAGCTTCTTCTGATGTATGTATTATACAGTGTGAAAGCGCCCTCTTGGACACATTATAATTCTGTCCGTTGCGAGTACGATGTTCACGTTGGCATCTAAATGTCTGGGGAAAAAAGCCCCAGGGTTCACATTTTTTAGCATCAAATCTGTTTACTACCCACCTTCAGCTTTATTAACATGCTGGTTCCATTAAGAAATCAACTTGGTGCATGGGGACCCCCACCCCTACCCCAGCCTACCGCCCTTAACCCCTATTGGCAAAATGTGTTTCAACCAATGATATATGGCAGATTTCTTATCGGTAACTTGTTTACAATGGACATCAATATTTTCCCCACACATTTGGGAGTTGCTTACCTCTTACGATGAGTCTAAACAGGCTGAACTTGTTGTCACGGAGTGAATAACGAGAACTCAATACAACATACACGTCTCCGTGCTTGGCCTGGCTGGCAGGTATTGTGATTGTACCCATTCCATCGTAGTCAGTTAAATTGGTAGCGACTCCATCACTGATCCGACGCCAAGAAGCATGACTTGTCCACCCTCTGCGATTTTGCACAGACAGAGTTGCATTTTCTCCCGTGTTGATTGTCTTCGTCAGTAGTAACGCATTCCACCTACCTGGGTAATACCATCCTAGTGCGCAAATAAGGCAAATTAAAAGGTATTTCCTTTTAATTCCACGGGTAAGCCTGATCGTTTAACTTTTGATTCAGTTTGCAATACTGTATGTTTTCGATCAAGTCAAACATAGCGGCATGCATGCATTTATTAATCATAGTTTCACAACGAGCATTTTACACGTTATATTTGTTCAGGTTTCAGGTATGTTTTCCATGGTTCGTTATAAGAGTTTGGAATATTTGTATATACAGGTAACATGTATTTACATTTTGAGAAAAGTTCGTTTGGAAACACCTTTTTGGGCTACATGGAGTCATCGACCATAAAAAAAAGTCAAACATGAAACGAACGCAAAATTGCATATAAAACGTGCATTAATAATCTCACTTGACCGAACTATACAACCGAAAGGGGAAGATATAATCATCGGAAGATATATCCCTTTCCTACCCGGGCTTGGGGCAAATAAACGGCTATAAATGAACAAGTACAAAAACATGGGAGTAACTCACCGTTGTTGCTGTAGATACTGCTGTACACCCGCGTCGTCTGGCCTCCCTTAGATCCCTCGCAGTAATATAACCCTGTTGCATTGACGTTGTTGATAGGTAACTGCGTGAATTTAAGTCCATCAAATTCTCCACTGGTTGTACCATCTGGAAAGGAGGTAGATGAATCTATTCCAGCTCCTGGCAGATGTACGGGAAGCCTACCAAAGCTCAGATCAGCATCGGTATCAGGACTACTTCGGTAACAGGCCAGGCGAATAATGTTAGATTCCCCTGCTCGGTGAAAAAAGTGTGTGGCCATCGTCAGATGTAGAGAGTCCTTTGTATCCAAGAAATCAGTATGTGATGCTGATAAATGGGAAAGAGGAAAGAAACCGATTATAAGTCCGCTTTCAGATGTTTAAATATAATTTACGTGTGCACATTGATTTCGTTTTACGTAATATAAAAATACCTGGAAAGTCATCTTTTTGTATTTAACATTAACTATATAATTAAGGCAAACTCGTACCTTTTCCTGGACTCCGTGGTCAATTTGACCTTTTTACTAATAAATCACATAATCATTCATAACCACAGTTCATATACGCATCCGCATAAAATGGGCCTGGCTGCAAAAAGCCAAAGCGGCCCATGGAAAATGTACAGGGGTCCAGAATTTTGTTTTGTCATTTTCCCTCAATTTCTTCGGAAAAATTCATAAAAGCGTCATAGGCATTAATTTTTAGGTTTGTTGGGGCACAAAATAAACCTTAAAAAAATTGCTTCCGCATCGTGCGCGCTAGGGCGAAGGGAATCAGCAGTGCCAAAAAAAAAATAATAACCGTGTGCTTCGGGGTACAATCCACCAAATATCTCGGTGCTGAATCGCGCTTGGTCTCACCGTGGCTGAATTACAGGAGCTACTCCGGCAAAAATGATTTCACTGTCACATTGACCGGGGATTGTGCATACAGGCCAGGGCGCCCGCCACGCGGAAATTACGTCTTAAAACTGCATCATAACCATCATAACAATATTGCATTATAGCTTTGCTGTTTTCTTAGAGTGATCAAGTGATAAGAGTGATCAATGAGTAAGCAGAGTACGCAGAGTGATTAAGGAACCCGATTCATGATTTTTTGGCAGGTTTGCCCGTTTTGCTACCTATTTGTTTATCGTCCATAAAACAGACTTTTCGCTCATACCTCGAGGTTGCGTCCTGATTGTTGTGACAGGGCTCCTCGGGCCTTCCCCTCCTTCCCCCTCACGCACCGCAGCCACACTGAAGTTATACACGGACAACTGTTGCAGTGATTCGATCTCGAAGCGGAATGAGCTTGGAGTCTCGGAAATCACTGCAAGGTAGTCAGCCCGAGTCGAAGAACTACTGGAGTAGTTGGAGTGGTAGATTTTATACCCCATGATCGGCCCATCTCCAGAGTCCATGGGATGAGAACCCCACGGTTTCCAGGTGACAACAGCTGAAGTATAGTTCACACTTACGTCAGGGGACTGGCTAAGAACAGGTAGAACTAAATGGAAAAAAATAAACATGCAAAACAAATGTGACGTCAGAGGTGGAAAGGTGGCGGCATCTATTTGACGGAACCCCCTCCTGCGTTTCTAATTAAACTACTAATCGGTGCTGAGAAAACGTTTGTCCTTGTAACGTGATGTCTTCGGGCGATATTTACCAAACTTGCAAATTCCAGTCCCATCCGTCTGAAATTGGTCACCGAGGCACCGACCGCTTGGACATGATCCAGTGATACCATCACATGCTGCGTCATCCAGACAGTGACAATCCGTACTGCAGTCTTCACCAAAGTAACCAGCCTCACATTGCCCTGCGGAACCACAAGCACCGATTAATCTCAATATGCAGCCGACAACGATTTCACAGCGTAATAATTCCAAAACAATAACATTACTTGTAATTCCTACCAATCTACAATGCAAGAGACACTTTTTTGGTCTTACGTGACACACAGATGAATCCTGGGGCGCATCCTACGCTGCAGTACCCGGTGTACTTGTCACATGCTGCATCGCCTAGACAATGACATTTCCTCAGGCAGTTACTACCATAATAACCAACCTGGCAGATATCTGGAACTATATGAGACAATAATAACACAAATCTCTTATGAAAGATACCTGCAAGGGCCTTTATTTCGATGTTTAAGAGAAATCCTTCTATATGATTTCTAGGATCTGACTTGTGATGCTTTTTTTTGGTGGCGCAGAGCTTGATGCAGTGCTGTGAACTAGCTGAAGAGTTGAAGAGAAAGGTATTTTATTTGGGGAAAAAGAGGAGAAATTTGGGATGGGTCTCACGAGAGCCATCTGGTATAAGCATTGGCGATGATCCGTAGACGGGCATATGTCTCCCAACACAAAGTTATTTTTTCTCGGAGTTGCAAATGATGATGTTCTCTACGATTTTACCAAATGCATAACAATTAGCTCTTCCACCATAAATTTCATGGTTAATTCAACGGAAGGCCTACGCACTGCCAGCATTAGGCATAACATTTTCGAATTCGTCAAATTATAGAATTCGTGAAACTTGGTACACTCACAGCGTGTTCACTGAGACATCGTTTGACCACCAGTTGGAAACGTTGAAGCCAATGGCCCTATACCACCTGCTGTATATTTACACGCACTCTTTTCTTCAGTTGAAAAAATGAAATAAAAGACCCAGCGGTTCTTTTAGACACTTACTTTGACAGTTTGCACCAGACCAGCCGTCCGCGCAGCCACCGACGTGGCACACTCCTGTATATCGGTCACAGTCCAAGTCGGGCAAAAGACAGTGACATTCCTGTTCACACCCAGCACCAAATCGCCCCGATGTACAAACTTATTTGGATTGTTTTGTGAATACAGATACACGGAAGAAAGAAAAAACAAATAATGCGGTCACAAAAAGGATATTGTTTTTGTTTGTTTATAGTGTAAGGTCTATGAGGCGCTATCAATAGCATGATTTAATAAAAACGTTATATTGAATGGTGCAAATTGGTAACCAACGTAGATTGTAAAATTCAAAAATAGGGTGTAGAATATTGTGAAAATTGAATAAGAATATTATTGGGGAATATTGAAGAAAAGAATATTGGGTAGAGGAAATCGACAAGTGAGCAAAGCACACTAGAAAAGTACGCAAACTGTATTTGTTTTTGCACTGCAATGAGCTTGAACTGTACCATGGTAGTCCTTATTAGGTGTTAGGTAGTCACAAATCTGTTTCTTCGAGATAGCATATTTGACAGGAAGTACAGAGTTCGCTGTAGGGGTTTTCAAAAGTAAAAATACACCCCCCCCCCAAGAAAAGGGAAAAAAGAGAAAAGACACGTTTGACACGCTTAAACACGAATGATGAGGAAAAGCAATATGTTGTGAATTACGTTCTGTAATATTTCAATCCAGATTGATGGAAGTCATACGTACCATCGCTGCATGTTAATCCACTATAACCGTTGATGCAGCTGATGCCGAATGGATCTGGTTATCCAAACTGGGAACCAGAGCACATACTAATAAGCTCATGATTGCCACATCTAAACTCGCAATCCCAGCCGAATGAACTTGCTGAGTATGCAGCTGTTGGGCAAACTATTGAAAAACAAACATTCGTCGAAAACACAATTATGTAATCAGATTCCGACTCATCAATCAAAGTATCCCACAAGAGTGTTATGATGACTTGACTTAATTCGTAGTTTCCGCAACTCGACTTGATTTTACTGAAGTGGTAAAAATAGCCAATAAGTATCCAGTCACCTTACACGTTTAATAGTTTGACTAAGGCCAAAAAAGTCTCCGGTTTCTGGTATGCGCGCGCGTCGCCGTAGCCATGCGCGTCGGCAAAATGAAAAAGTTTTTTTTTCAATGAAAGATGATGTCTCAAAACCGCCAAACTCACTGGTTTGCCTGGAATCCTGCTGCTGCACAATTTTAACGTGTTTTTAGATGGGGTTATGATCGAGAATAAGCTTTAATAATGTGGCCTCTCTGGACTCCCATATATTTGCACTAAGTCTAGTCGGGCACCATTTGCAGTCATTAGCCTACATTTTGAGGCAAAAAAATCAGATAAAAAAAAAAAGCCGCGTCGCCGCACCACTTTTTTGGCAAGCTCCATACCAAAAACAGGAGACTTATTTTGTTTGGCCTAAACTGAGTCTATACTGTTTTTGTACTTGGGCTTTGTTCTTCTCCTACATCCAGGTATAAGATGCGATGAGCTTACCTGTGAAGCAAATGGGTTCCATAAATTCTGATGGGAAGATGCAATTTCACAAACTCCTTTATTGAAACACGAATCACAAAGCCAGCCCCAAAGCCCGATAGCCTAGACACACCGCTCGACAGACAGCTCGATACCGTGAACGACAAAAAGACAGACAGGCAGAGAGATCATACAACGAGTTTACCTGTGAAGCAGTTTGCTCCACTGAATCCTGGTGGGCAGATGCAATATCCTGTCTTATCATCACACACTCCTCCATTGTAGCACATGTCACAAACACCGTCACAGGCAGGAGGACCCTACTTGCTTGCAACACATCCTAAAGAAAAGAACCACCAACATGCATGTTATTGTGGCTGATACGTGATATCACTTTGATCAAGTACGTTGTTACTATATTTCTGTTATTTTTGTGTTAAAACGGTTTTAAGGATTTGTTTGCGCTCATGAAGGAGAACTTCAATTAGTTCCATTAGAACAACAACAAGTAAATGTGATTTTATTCCTTATATGTGATATTATATTTCCTTATTAACTTAACTTCCATTATTTGGGCTCACTGCAATGACCGACCACCGTTTACAGAAAAAAATGGGGAAGCACGATTAGTCCAATCGCCAAGTAGGGGGACGGGGGTCCTATGCACCCAGTTTTCTAAGTGAATCCAAGTTGCTGAATTGCGTCCCCGCGACTGAAAGAATTCAGATATTATTATAGCTTTTGTCACAAGATTGCGATATCACACAGTAGAATGCATCCATGAGGAAGAGAGAGAGAGTGCGTGAACATAGTAGGGATGTTTTTTACATAGACAAGCAGATAAACTAAATTATAAGATATATAAATTATAAGCTATTCTCTTTTTAATTTGTTAATTAACTTTGGGATCGTTAATTGGTCAATATCTCTTCCAATACATGTGGGTCACAGACGGGCTAAATCGTGTGAAATAAACCATCTTTTTTCTTGCTTTTTTTCTCGCTTGCATGTGCATTCTCTCCTCTGAATAATGTATCTATTGTAAAACGCCCTCTCGTGACCAAACATCATGTATTAATAACTGAATTCTGTCAGTTGCGAGGACAAAACTCATGAAAATCCTGTCGGCCTCAAACTTTTCGAAAAAAAGCCCCATGTTCACATGTTTAAACAGCAAAACCTGTTTACTAGACACCTTCAGGTATACACAAATGTTAGTTGTATTTATTTAAGAAATCGACTGGGTGCATGCAAGGAGACCCCCTTTGGCGACAGGAATGACTCTGAAACGTAGGTGTTTTCTCCAACCTGTAGATATCTTTTGAATTTGTCTAGATTTATTGAGTTACTTTTCCACGATGTACATCAAGTTGTTGTCCACACATTTGGGAGTTGCTTACCTCTTACGATGAGTCTAATCAGGGCGAACTTGTTATCACTGAGTGAGAATTCACGAGAATCCACGACAGCATACACGTCTCCATGCTTAGCCTGGCTTGAAGGTATCGTTATGGTCTCCATTCCATCATAGTTAGATAAATTGGTAACGACCCCATCCCTGATCCGACGCCAAGAAGCATATTTTTTCCTCCATGCGTAAAAACTTTGCACATACAGAGTGACATTTTCTCCTTTGTTGATTGTCTTCGTCAGCAGCAAATCCTCCTCCATCCTGTCTGGGTAACGCCGGCCCCCTATTGTGTGAATAAGGCAAATAAAAACGGCATTTCCTTTTAATTAACGAGTAGGCCTAAATTTCGATTAACAATATTCCCTCGGTTTGAAATAATATGGTTTCGTTTAAGTCCAACCAGAGGGGTTGGGTGGATGGGTGGGGTGGGGGGGAGCACTGGATTCCATCTTCCCTTGCAGGTGCTGTTAAAACCGGACAACCAGGGGCAATATCGGGCAAAAGGTGGCGCTTTTCGGGGCGGCACATGTAAAAAGCCGCTCGTACAAGGTCACTTGTTTAAAAAGGCACTTTGTATAAAAAGGCACTTTGTACAAAATATTGTTGAAACTGGGGGTTTAAAACTACTAGAAAAGGACCTTTGTATATAAAGGGGCCATCTGTACAAAATATTATGGGGGGGGGTAATACCTTCGCTGGCTACGCCACCGGTATTTCTTTTTAAATTAACCGGTAGGCCTTTTCCAATACCGTGTCTTCGATCACGTCCAACGTATACAGGGGGCTACAGGCATTTTTAATCGAAGTTTCACAGCGAGCATTTTACATATTTACGTTTTCAGATTTCGAGTATCTTTTCCAAAGGTTCGTTGTAAAGTGTTACGAAAAATACATGCTACGTGTATTTACAGTTTTTGACAAGGTTCATTTGAAAACATCGTTTGAGGCTTTGTCGATTACCATTATTGCCAACCAAATACACAAAACGCCATCCATGCATTAAACGAACATTATTGCAGGGGCGGATCCAGGACTTTTTGCAGGGGGGGGGGGTCATCAACACAAAATACTCAAATGTAGACAGTTTTTTTTTCTCCGGACACTTGGCGTCCGTAAAATCAAAAACTTGGGGGGGGGGGGCTGTAACAATTTTCAATAGGGGCGCTGTTCAAAGTGGACGATTATTAACACTAGATTACAGAATGGTGTACGAATACCCCCTTTATAAACTGCCTCTGTCCGTTTTTTGAACAGGCGGACATTATACCATTATTTTTTTTGGGGGGGGGTGTCAGAGCAGGGGGGTTCGCATTATTTTTTTTTTTGAAGTATTTCTATGTTTTGGGTTCTTTTTTTGTCAGAGCTGGTTTTTCGCCCCTGGATCCGCGCCTGTATGGCCTTTATTCCCCGAACATGTCAGGTTATGGATGGTCTACTTATACTATTTCAAAGCTCGGCTTAAAGGGAAACTTACCTAATATCGACGGCAACTTGCCTGAGTAATACCAGGCACCTATTGTGCAAATAAGGCAAACAAAATGGTATTTCCTGTTAGTTCAACGGGTAGGTCTTTCGTTTAAACTATTCTTTCAGTTTGAAAGAATTGAGTCTGTTTTCGATCAAGTCCAACCGGGGGGGGGGGGGGGGACTCCAACTTCCCGCAGGGGCCTTGTCCACACTGGACGACCACAGGCAATATCGGACAAAAAGGTGGCGATATTTGGGCGGCACTCGTAAAAAAAAAAACGCTGGTATAAAAAGAGCAACTTGTGTGAAAGGAGGACGACCTCCAAAAGAAAACGTATACAAAACCAACTAGAGTTTCGCGTTTGTTTAGTTACAAACGCAGAGTGGTCGGGCAGACAGCCTTTTCATTATACACTGCCCAGTTAAGTTAGGAATATATGTTTATGTAGAAAAAAGGATCAGGACATTAAATCCCTTTAATACATTTCAGTAAACATTCTATGTGCACAAAAAGTTATTTCTGGTTTGATGACGTCATCAGTCAAAAATGGTGAGTGAATACTAATGAAGTTCAGAGAGGATAATTTCTCATTGTAAAGTTAAAATAACGTATGAAAATATGGGGAATATATTTGTTTGTATTAATAACACCTAACTTCCGGTTTGATGACGTATTGATAACACCTAACTTCCGGTTTGATGACGTCACAGCATTAGAGATCCAAAGGTGAACATTGTAATGGATATCATTATTTGGACTTCGAAGATATGACAGGGATCAAATGATAGAATTAAATTATCTTTTTCAAATTCTCCTTAAGGCAACTTCCAGTTCGATGACGTCATGAATTTGAAACCTTGCCAAGTTATCTGTGGTTAATCAGAGAATGTCAAGGGGCGATTTGGTAAAATTTGGACGGATAGTTTTACAATTAAAGAAGGGAAACTCTATTTTATGTGCCGATAGGGGGCGCCCTTTCGGATGATGACGTCATCACACTGTTTTTTGCATCTTGCATTCCTCACTAAACACTTTCATAATATATATGTCTGTAGTAAAATGCTTCCGCTTTTGAGTTATATTCAGTTTTTATTGCACTTCCGGTAACACCGGAAGTAAAGGTCAAGCGGTTTTGCGTCCGGGAACACGAAATGTTTCTCACGGCATAGTCTACAACCTCACGAAAAAAGAACACGATACTCTATTTAGTTCAAAAGATATAAAGCAAACTATTTTGTCAAAATTTGCCCTTAAATCGCTTGTAATTTGATACCTGATGACGTCATGAAGACGTAACAAAATTTATAACATCTTCGTAACACGGTACAAATTCACACAAGGTTTTGTGATCATACCGTGAACCGTTCGGAAGAAATGTTGCTTTGTTTTGATTTCAGGCTAACGTCTTCATTTTGAATTCACCTAACTTTGACCTTCCGGTAGACCCGGAAGTAAAGGTCAAGCGAGTTCACGTACTCTGACAAAAACTGTTAAGCGATTAATGGTTTACAGAATACAAACATTAATCTGATTTACAGAATACAAACATCATTGAATGTTTAGTTCAAAAGTTATAGGTGAAAGTAATTGGTCACTTTTTCAGATAAAATCACTTGTAATTTGACACCTGATGACGTAATCATGACGTCAGAGTAATATGCACCACTTCGGATGAGGGTCGATATATATATATTGAAAGTTACAAGTTCATACCATATACCGTTTAGGAGAAAAGCCGCGGAGAAGTATTGTCCGGAAAAAAAGAAGATTTACCAGAACAATAACAGAGAGTGGTCGGGTTGTGCCCGACCACTCAATGAGAGCTGTTGCAAAAAAGCTAGTATAAACACAGGTAAAGGAAGAGGAACAATAGAAAATCCTCGATTTACACCATTAAAAACGTGCCTTTGGTGCCCAATATACAATGTTGTTTTTCGAACGGTGCAGAATACTGCAGGATTCAGGACTAGCACCCAAATGCTCGTTAGAGTCATCATTTTGACCCCCGAAATTCGTTAGGGCATGGTTCTCGTAAGAAGTTCCCAGTTTCGTAGAGGATGATTTTGTTGAAGTTTATGTCCTACTTTTCGTTTGAAATGCGCTTTGCAGCCCAAATGAAGCGCGTTCCAGGACGTAATGCCCCTTTAATTATTGCACTTTACCGAAATATGTAACATAAACAGGAAGATATAATCATCGGAAGATATAACCCTTCCCTTGGGGGGGGGGGGAAGGGTGTGAAAACTGATAATTACATTTAAAAAGTACAGGAAATCAATATTAAACACTTCAAAACGTGTGGGTCACTCACGGTCTTTTCTGTAGACACTGCTGTAAACCCGAGTCGTCTGGTCTCCTTTTGATCCTTCGCAGTAATATAACCCAGTTACATTGGCGTTCCAACGAGGCAACTTCTTGAATTCTTGTCCATCACCTTCTCCACTGGTTGTACCATCTGGGAAGGAGGTGGATGAATCTATTCCAGCTCCTGGCAGATGTACAGGAAGCCTACCAAAGCTCAGATCAGCGTCTGTATCAGGACTACTTCGGTAACAGACCAGAATAAGCTTGCTATAATCCACTCGATAGAAGCTGCGGGTGACCATAGTCAGGTGTAGAGATTCCTCTGTATACAGCAAGGCAACAAACAAATAACTCTTTTTGGCTGACAAATTAGTGCAAGAGAAAAATGATTATTGGTCCGCTTTCAGAGCTTCAAACATCAGTGAAATTTCGTTTCACTTTTGTACAGTGATTCCGTTTTACGTAAACAGAAAACTACCTTTAAGTGACCTTTTAATGCATTGAGCATTAAAGCTACAGTCCATCAATAGCAGCTATTCAAAAAGTAACTGACGTGATTATTGTTTAAAAACATACTTGGTTGAAAGATAGTAAGGGGACTAAACTCCCTGTGAAATTATTCTTTCTGGCAAGCAGTCATTTTGAAGAAATTAACTAAAGAAGGCCTTTCTAACGGTGCGCCTAAAGACGCACCGTTTGAAATTTTCATAACTAAGGCCAAAAAAACAAAAAAAATTGTCGGTCTCTGGTCAGACCAAAGTTCCGGAATTGATGCAGCGACGCGGTTTTTTTTTTTTTGTTGGTGGCTTTTTTTTTTAAGCTTGAATTGTACAGACAAGGTGGGTACTATTTTGCTTTGTTGTGTCCTCATTATACATTGGTTTCCTCCATTATTTGCCTTGGTGCACTTTATCATTTGCTTTGGTGCAATTTTCCCATTCCTTGGTGCTCCTTGGTACAAAAATGTAAGGAGGTGCGGCAAAAGAGGGCGATGTTGTAGCTTCCGCGCATGATTAAAATCGACGCGCGCGCTGACCAGAGACCGAGTCTTTTTTTTTTGGCCTAATTGTTTGTTTTTTTATTCGGCGAAGCGCGTGCAAGCGTTGGAACTACGCACACGCGCCCTCGGTTGCTATAATGCGTCGGATCGGTGCGCGACATCGCGTAGCTGCCATCTGCTCAGTGAGAGCGTGTGTCGGACGCTGAATTCAAGCCCAATTCAAACATGATTCAGCAACTCTTGGTTTGAAATCAAGATCCTAGAATGTTGTTTTTCTCGGAATATACAGCTGAAGCTGACCTCAAACTTCATCTTCATTGTTGTTCAGCATCCCTCTTTACATTTTGAGCACGTTTGTTACCTCAAACGTACAAAATGCACAAATTACAAATGATGGACTGTACCTTTAACAATAGAAGGCACATTTGTGACGTGCGTATGGGCTAAGGAACGTCCCAGTGCACAACCTTTTCCCCTTCAGAACCCACCGCTACCGGTATGTTTTTAAATGTTGGCATGTCCCCAATAGGAATGCAGCAGTGAAATTGTAGGAATGCACTCTATATGAGAAGACCACTTAATCGAACCACCTCTGATTGAGTTTAGATGCAAATTAGCACTATAGGGTTAGAAAGGAAACTGCAAATCGCCATTACCTAAGCACACCTTGACCTATCGTAAACAAACTCAGCACAATCAGGTTTTTTTCATGAAAAGTTCTTTTGAAAAATAACCTTGCTTGTTACAGTAGCGGACTACAGAGGGTGTACAGTCAAACAAAATACATACACATTTCTTTTGAAAATCATTATCCGAAATATTTCTCATCTTCAGTGGCGTAGCCACGGGGGAGGGGGGGGGGCCGTGGGGGCGACAGCCCCCCCCCCCATGAAACCTTGTCGCCCCACAGTCGCCCCCCCATTGAGATTTTGAGTTTCTAATGAAATTATCATTGATCTACATGACGCCCCCCAATGAAATGTTCCAGCCCCCACCCAGCGCCCCCCCCCCACTGAAAAATTCCTGGCTACGCCACTGCTCATCTTTAGTCTTCACAGTGTACTGTTCACTTTGAAAGTCACGTAATCCTGAAACAGCACCTTTCTTATGATTATCCAACTACTGTTGAACTAATTTGAGAGTTAGTTCTTGGCAATTTGAAAATTAAATAAATTTTGAATGAGTTAAACACCGTCCTGCTGAAACCAGGTTCTGGTATTCTTAGCCCTTGTATTGGTGTTAGGTCAATCTTCCAGATACATAGACAAATTTTCATCAATCTTTGTACAACTTGACATAGTACAATGTATATGTTTATGCTTGGTTTTTTTTAATCGTCATGGAAACCGACTATAGAGGTCGCTATACCGGGATTTATATAATAATACATAGGCTTTTGTACATATTTCAATAAGTAGAGATTTCGTGATGTTGTAGTCTTGGTGACAGTGACAGAAAAGGACCATCAAAAATAGAAACATGGATGTGGTCCACTCTAACCTGTTGGATGGATCCATTTTTGTGGCCACATCTGGGTAAACTTTTGAAATTAGCGATGATTTTATGGAGATGTTGGCATATCAAAAAACTGTGTATATTATGTAAGCACAGCGATGGGAATATTCTTAGCGCACGGAACCTTGTGGAGACATGGGTATAATAGGGAACAAAAGATTATATACGTCTCCATAGGGCAATTTCTATATTTCTCCTCAAGGTTATCACGAAGTAGATAAATGAATGTTACTCAAAAACTAGGAATTTCCAAGGTTTTTGATATGTCGCAAATTGAAGTATTTTATAGAAGGGAAATTAAGTCCGATTTTTTTAAACTAGATTTTCAAACTCATTTTTTTAAGTACAAGAGAACAAAGAAATGACTCAACAAGGATACAAATTCCAGGATGTTTGTGTACCAGATCAGTAACGGACATACGGAAGGTTTATTAGTCAACATAAACGCTTGCAACTATCAACTAATTACTGTCCCACTGGAATCACTGCTTCCGATGAAGAATACCCAGAGAGTATGGTGTTCTGAATTGGACAAAAAGACAATGAATACATTTTACAACAGCGTGGTTCATCTTTCTTGTTTTTTCTTGTTTTTCTTTATTCTTCATTTTTTTTGGAGCCATGTGAAAACAAAATATGTTTAAGGTTGCACAGAGAGGCACTAACCTGTTAGGGTCTGAAAATCACCAGAGGAAATTCAAGGTCTGGGACTATGTTCTGCTCTTCGTCAGGACGTAAAAGGTTTCCACCCCCACCCCGAGTTGATGCAACATGTATCTGATCAGTGGAAGTAGTAGTGAAGGAAGTCGTGAAGAATGTTGTCAAGGATATAGGAGACAATAAAAGTGGAACCTACATCATCGGTTGTCTGACAAAGATTGGGCATTTCGAACTGGTGGGTGGATGTTGCCTGCATGTTCATAAACTGGGAGATGTTGCCAGGACCCAGGAGGATGAAGAGTTTGCCTTGGAGTCTCTTGTCGATGGATGATGCGGGGTACTTGCAAAAAGGACGATGGAACCGAAGACAACGATATCCCATACTTTGTGGTTAAAGTCTGCATTCGACAAAAGTGGTGCTGCCTTGTCAGCAATAGAGGATGTGATTGGACTTGTCTTTGCAAAGGGATTGTGCTGACTGCGCGATCTTCTCCGTAGATTTGGAGATTGGCTGCAGATGGACATTGTCGGCGATGGACTTGTGTAGACGACACAGGATGAGCTTGATGCACTGCATGATCTCTTTGATTGCGGTGATTGAAGGAATGGGGCAAGGTTAACCGGGGGCATGACCTTGGTTTCTTTAGGAGACAAGAATCTGTTAGTTTGTTGTCTTGGGAATTGAAATGGTATAGGTGGTGCGGGTATGAGGATAAAGATGATCCTGTAGTCAGACATTCGGGATAAGAGCCGGGGATATAGATCATGGCCCGATTGCCCGAGCATTTTGGGAACGGTGGTACATTACTGATGTGCGTAAGCTCTTGTACGCTGACGACACTGCACTACACTCCATGCCTACCATCCAGCACGGCACCTCATCACAACATTTGCCGATATCACCATAGGTTTCGGCCTCGCAATTAACATAAAAATAGCTACAGGAACCTAGAGGTCTACATCAGCAAAACCCTCTTGAACGCCGTCGACAAAAATGCTAGCATCGGTAGCACAAGTGACCAACGACAACAGCCTTGACGCGGATGTATAGCAGCAAGAATCTCCTGGATATCAGGTCGTCTCAGGAAGAGGCTTTGGTCCCAACGGGGCATCAAACCTGCCCACAAATGCAGTGGTTATAGAGCCGTAGTGTTACCTTGCTTCCCCTACTCCGCGGAGCCCTACACCCTCTACAGAAAACACAAAGAAACTTTCCAATACCCAGCTGCGCCACGTTTGGTCGATCCTTGGAATCAAATGTCAAGACCATCATGTGACAAATGCAGAGTTCTTTGAACATGCAAACATGCATAGTTTAGAAAACATCTTGATGACAAGACGACTCAAGTGGGCTCGGCACACCGTCAGAATGGACATAAAAGCGTACACCAAAAGCAGTACTCTACGGAGAGCTCTCCCAAGGTTATCGCCATCGAGGCCGGCCAAAGCTGCACTACAAAGACTACCTTAAAGACCCCCTAAAGGCTGCAAATGTACCCATAGGTTCATGGGAGACCATGGCCAAGTGCAGGCTAGAATTGCGCAAGCTATAAGGCAAGGCACATTAGATGCAGAATTCCAACGCAACCGGCAAGCGCAAACCAGGTGACTGAGAAGGCACCAGCAACTTCAACCAGACCAGCCACACCCCTCCTTCCAATGTGACTACAGAAGGCAAATTTCCAGCCACATGGGTCTGTACTCACACCAGTGCAGTTGCAACTACAGTGCACTTACCTGACTTCAAGATGGCGACGTCATACTCGATATCGAGTGATAGCTGATGATGCTGATATATTTAATTTTTCACATTATTTTGCCATATAATGTTTGACGAATCTTTAACTGTCATTGTCCGTGTGCGATATCCCATTTTTGTTCTAATCACAGACAGTACGTTAGTGGTGAACAAAGCGAAATACATCATAAAGAGAAAATCCTTTAAGTTGTCAGGTAAATGGATTTTTCCTCATCAGACTTTAAATATGTTGGCCGATTGTTCTGGTTATAAAGTAAAAAAGGTAAACCCAAACGGTAAATCATTTAAATGGTTGATGCTTGCTCACTTTTTTTAAAAGGAGGGCATCACTCATAAAAGAAATTAAGTATGGACGTGTTTTCTCTTGT